AGAATGTAAACATGGGATGAAAGCAACTTTGCCGGGGGGGAGGGGCAGTCCGGGTATGAGAGACCCTGTCCCCAAACAGCGATGCAAAATCCATGCTCCACAGCCCCAGGGGACCAATGCTGACCCTGCCACCGTGGGGTTTGCACCTTTCCCGTTTGCCCTTCCCTGGGTACAGGGAGCCAGACCCCTCTTGGCACTGCCCTGGGCACTGGCTGGGGGCGGGACGGCAAGCAGCAAGTGCCTGGAAACGATTTACACCCCAGGGCAGACAAAACACACACACACAGACACCTCCGATCTCAGCAGGGACCCCGGGTGCCTGCCAGCCCCTTGCCTAAGCCCCCGTGCCCCTGACCTTGCTCCTCATCTGCCCTGATGTGGACACCTTCCGGATGAGCTTGTGGGAACTGTCTTCCTGCTCGCCCTCGCTGTCAGACGACTCCTCACCGCCTGCTTCAGGTGAGATGGGTGCCAGCTTGTCTGAGTCCAGGGATGACACCGATTCCCGGGTCTTCCTCAGGAACAGGTCCCCAGGCACCAGCTTCTCAGCCATCCTCCCACCCAGCTTGGCTCTCGGCTCCACTGGCTCCTGACACAGCCCTGGGAGGACAAGGACACACGGGAATGGAGGAAAAGCCCTGAAAGGGGGTGAACAGAACTTCACCCTCTATGGCTTGGCCAATTGGGAGGTACAATCCTCAAAATCATGGTAGAAGGCACCTCCTAGCACAGGAACGCCACTCGGTGGCTTTCTTGCAGGCAAAGTTTTCCTTTGTCACCTTTTCAGTGTCCTAAGTCTCCCTTACCCTGCCTGGCATGCCACCACTCCTTCCTCCACCCTGGGAGACTGTGGCCACCCTATGCCCTGGCATTGGGGTGCACCACCCTTGCCGCAGCCTGCACCAGCACCCAGTCTGGTGCCCTTCCCCGGGACGCTGCGCTGCCCTCAGTGGCCAGGGGAGATCGGGAGAGGTGGAGCGGGGAGGGCCATGAGAAGCAGCAGCTGCCTCCTGCCATCCACTCCAGCAGCCGGGAACGGCTGGGAGCATCTCCCGGCCCCACGCCGGTGGGTCACCAGTCCCAGGCAGGTGGCTGAGGGTATGGTGGGATAGAGGGTGGGGGCGCGGGGCTCCCCGCATGCAGGGGAAGCCATTACCCCTCTGTAACCCCTCCCGCCAAGGGGGCTGCGACCGGGCGGGGGGGGGGCACCTACCTGGGCGAGCGAGCCTGGCCAGTGCAGTGCTGGCCAGGGGACACCCCACGGCGCCGTGCCCGGCCCCATGCGGCCCCAGCTCCGCACACCCTCCCCCCCCCCCCCCGCGGCTGCCGGCAAACGTGTTGCCGTGTCCCCGCGCAGCAACAAGCTTTTCGGGGGTGGGAGGCGAGGGCACCGCAGCGCTGCCGCTCCCCCGACCCCGGGCACACGCCGCCTCGATGCGGGCCTCGGTCCCCCCTGCCTCTCCCCCCCCCCCCCCCCCAACCTCGGGGTTGCCGGGTGCCGCGTCTCCGCCGAGCATCCCGCAGCACGCCCGGGAGGGGGGGAGGCGGAGCGCACCCCTCGCCCCTCCCGCGCACACACCTTGCGCACCCCGCGCCGCCGCCGCTCGTGCAAGGTCGCTGCTGCTCCGGCTCCCGCCCGCAGCCCCCCGGCCCCGCGGGATGCGCCTCTGCGGGCGGCCCCGGCCCTGCCCCTGCGCCACAAGCCCCGGCCTGCTCCGGTGCGCGCGGCGGCGCGGGCGGCCCACGCACGGCCCCGAGAACGCGGGCGGGCACCCGCAGCGCCGCGCGCACATACGTGTGCAGCGCCCACGCGGGCACGGGGATGGCAGAGCATACGCACCGCGGCGCGCACATACGTGTGCACATGCCCGCGCACATGCGGGGCTGCGCGGCCCGGGCGTGGGTAAGCCCATGCACATACATGTGCACGGCCAGGCGTGAGCGCACACTCAGGTGCAGCACTCACACGGGCGCAGGCACGCACATGCATGATCGCTGTGCGCACCCACACAAGCATGGGTAGGCATAAGCATGGGCACGGGTGAGCACACGCACAGCTGCTGTGCTCACACTGAATATGGCACGCTGACACCAGCATGCACACCCCTGCTGTGGGAAACCACATGCACCCACACTGGCAAGGGCAAGCACATGGGTGGCACGCACACTGTGGCCATGCACATACATGTGTACACACCCCTGCATGCATTGGCATGAACAGCTCAGGCATGGGTGAGGAAATACGCTGCTGTGCACATACATGTGCCAACATGCGTGCAGACACACACTCGCATGTGTACAGGCATGAGTGAGTGCACACACTGCTGCCATGCACACATATGTGCACATGCCCACACATGCACAGGCACGCACACCCCAGTCAAGGGGTGCTACCTCCGTGCAATCATACATGCATACGATCACATATGCACAGGCATAAACAGGCATGAGTGAGCACACAGACTGGCACCTCCACGCACTTGCATACGAAATATATGAGCCCAGAATCCTCTCCATGTGCTGGGCTGCATCCTGAGAGCGTGAGCAGCAGCTCAGGGAGGGGATCCTGTCCCTCTGCTGCTCTCGGGGGAGACCCCCCCCTGCAGTCCTGATCCAGCTCTGGGGCAACAGCACGAGAGGGAGGTGAAGCTGTTGGGAGTGAGTCCCGAGGAGGTCACGGAGATGCTGCAAGGGCTGGAGCAGCTCTGCTCTGGAGCCAGGCTGAGAGAGCTGGGTTGGTTCAGCCTGGAGAAGAGAAGGCTCCTTAAGAGGAGACCTTAGAGCAGCTCCAGTGCTTAAAGGGGCTACAGGAAACCTGGAAAGGGGCTTTGGTCAAGGGCCTGTAGGGACAGGCCAAGGGGAATGGCTTTAACCTGCCAGAGGGGAGGCTGAGATGAGCTCTTAGGCAGAAGCTCTTCCCTGTGAGGGTGCTGAGGCGCTGGCACAGGGTGCCCAGAGAAGCTGTGGCTGCCCCATCCCTGGCAGTGCTCAAGGCCAGGTTGGACACAGGGGGTTGGAGCAAGCTGCTCTAGTGGGAGGTGGGGTTGGGACGAGATGGTCTCCGAAGGACCTGGCCTGCCTGTGCATTTGCTCACCTGTGCACACACGCGTACACGCGCTCACACACGCGGGCACATGCACGCGCTGTCACCCCGGGTGCGTGCGCCCGCGCCAACACCTGTTCACGCGCACTCCGACGCGCGCGCGCGCGCCCACGCGCACCTGCACGCACACGTGTGTGCCCGCGCACTCGCGCGCTACTGCCACCCCGTGGCCAGCGCTGACCCTGCACCGCTGGCCCCGTGTCCCTTACCCCCCCCCAGGCCCCTCCACCCCTCCTCTGGCCACCTCCGAAGTTCCAGCGCTGGGTGCCGCAGCCAACGCTGCAGCTGCCACCCGGGCACCGTGTGCCCCCCATGTGCCGCTGGGGGCTCCAGCACTGCGCCCTAACCTGACACCCTGGTAGCACCCACCGGGTGCACAGGACCCGCCTGCCCAGGCACCTGCGGTGCCACGGGGACGCCCGGGTCCCCCGTGCTCGATGGGGCTCGGCTCACCCTGCACGGCGGCACCCGCCAGCTGTGGTGCCAGTGACTGGAGACACAGCGACAAACCACGCGGGACACACGGCAGTTGTCCAGCTGCGGCTGCTCCTTTACTCTGAGGCACGACGGAACGCGGCAAGGAACCGACAGCGGCACTGCCCCGGTGCAGCGACTTACGGAGGGGCCCCGGTCCCCCCGAGGGCAGCACAGCCCCAGCGCGTGCTTCTTGGTCCTAGCAGTGTCTCTGGGCAGGCAAGGGGGCGGGGGGCGCTGCCATGGGGACCCCTCACCTACATGCAGATCGCAGTCTTAGAAGGTGAGGGTGACATGGAGGACTGCTGCAGCACAGAGCAGACAAACACGGGCACTGCCTGCACCCTGGGGCTGGGCTGCCCAGTTGTGGCCACCCCGAAAGGAGTTGGGGGTCACCCTGCGTCTCCTAAATGCTTCCTTCCCCCTCCCACCCAAACTGCTCCTGGTTGCATGAAACCCCTGTGCAAAATTAGCATCAAGGCATCTGCCAATCCCATGGGGACATTCAGGCAGTAGCAGGGTAGGGGGTGACTCAGGGTGAGGTCCAAGGGCTCCCTGCGCTTGCTGCAGCACAGAACAGGGGGACAGGCCCCCCCTTCGTCGTCAGTGTGTTTTTTCCTCTATTAATTCCTGCTGGTGCAGGGCAGAGGCTGGAGGCAAGGGCTAGGTGAGGCCGGGTAGTAACTGCACCCACAGCACTGCTTGCAGCGGATACCTATAGCACCTGGCATCCCATTGCCTGGCAGGACACCATTCCAGGGGCACCCACCACAGTGTCCCCGGGGTCAGGTGTGCACTGCACCCACCAGCACCAGCCTTGGCCACCCGCAGTGCCTCAGGCCGGTGGGGATCGGGTTAAGGACCTGCTGGCCAGGGCCATTGTTCTGGACACAATGGGGAGGAAGAAGGATGCTGGGGGGGGGGGGGGGGGGGGGGGGGGGGGGCAAAATTCCTCCAGCTCCCACCGGACAGATGGACAGAGCTGACAAACAGACATGATGGAGGAAGAGTGAGGATTGTTTAACCCTTCCAGGCACTGCATGGCTATGCCCGGGAGCACCCTGGCGGGACGTTTAAGGCACGTGGTGCAGCACCAGCCACAGGACAGGCAGTGGTGTCCAGGACAAGGTGGAGGGAGCCCTGTGAACACACAGTAGGGGGGGGAGCGGAAGGATGATCTGTCCATTTGGTCCTGCTGGGACACAGGGTGCTGGGTGGCCACAGAGCCCAGAGCAGCTCAGTGGCACACACGCACACACCCTGCCAGTGCCTGAGCTGGCACCAGCTCCCCTGCTTTGTAAACCAGAAAAATAAATAAAAGACAGGGGCTGGACAGACGGACAGGTGCAGGGAGAGCTCCCGAGGGGCCAGGTCCTCTTCGGCAGCAAGCTGGGACCAGTGCCTGGGGGGGGAGGCTGGATGGGGGGCGGCTGGATGGGGGGCTAACAGCCCTTGGGGCCCTGCTCGAGGCTCTCACGCAAGCACCGGAGCTGCTCCTGACCCAGCTTGATCTTCTCCTCCAGCTCCCGCTGCTCGGCAATGAGGGCCGACTTCATCTTGACGAAGTGCTGGTAGTCCTGGAGGTGCTCGGCGGGCAGGTACCGTGCCACCATGGCACCCACCACCTCCTCCCGCCGCCCCACGTGCTCCTTCAGCTCCTTGGCATCCTCCAGCTGTGCCACCAGCAGCTGCTGCTTCTCTCTCAAGGCCACCTGTGGGCAAGACAGGTACCGTTCGTGGGGTCCCTTGGCCTGGTGCCCCAGAAGCACCCCCCTGCCCTGTGCCCACCTTGTCCTCAGCAGGGGCATGCGGCCCCAGGCTGCCTAGGGCACTCTCCACCCGGGCCAGGCGGCCTGAGAGGGACAGCAGGAGGTTGACCACCTTGTCCAGGTCACCCACAAAGAGGCGGTACTTGTCAAACTCCCCCGGGGTGCAGAGGGCCTGCAGGCGCGCAGCCACGTCCTCGCCCAGCGCCCCATTGGCGCTGATGTCCTCCTGCAGACCCCGCTGTGCCTCCTGCAGCACCGCCAGCTTGCGACTCAGGCTCTCAATCAGCTGCAGCTGCCGGAGGGAAGGAAGGAGTCGGGTGACGGAGGACACCTGCGTTGAGACTGGCATACGGGTGCAGGGGTGCCATCCACACTGGGCCCCGCAGACCACAAGCATCTGGTGATGCCCCTGGGACCCATAAGCATCTGCTGACACTCCCAGGCACTGCAAGCACCCACCACCACCACAGGTCCTCGCAAACATCTATCAATGTCCCAGCCCCTGTGAGCATGCAGTGACGGCCCAAATACCCACAAGCATCCGGCAATGCCCATGGCTCCAACAAGCAACCAATGATGCCCCGGTCCCTGCAAGTATCTGGCAAAGGCAGTGGAGAACGCTGAGGGCATGGTCCCCAGCAGCACCCACTTTACCTTCTTTTCCACCAGCTCATGGTCTGCCTCCTCCTCAGAGCTCCCCTCCACCACATCCGGCAGCTCCTTCACCTTGCCAAGTGGCTCGGCTTTACCCACTCCTGCACTGTAATACGCTGGGTAGTAGGCAGAACTGGCAGCGCTCACAGAGGGTGGTGAGATGGGCTCGAAGCCCTGCCTGTGGGGACAGGGGCTCAGCGCTGGGGACGGTGGGGTGCAGTCCATCCTCAGCACAATGCCACGCAATCCCTACCTGTCCTGCGCCAGGGTCTCCATGTGCCAGTCCTGCTGGAAACACTCCTGCCAGGCCTGCTGCTGCCCCGTCACCAGCAGATTACCCACCACCTTGGTGGTTGTGCCAGGAGGGGCCAAGGGGGCCAGGATGCTAGCCAGAGAGTGGTCCCTGCCTGCCACATCCCACAGCAGCTCCTCCGAGTCCACAGGGCGGGGCTGGGGCTGGTTCCCCTGGCAGTCCATCCCCTCTGCCACTCCAGGGCTGGCCTTAGGGGCCTCGAGGGCAGTAGGGCCGGAGCCATCATGCAGGGGCAGGGAGCGCTCACCCACCCTGCAGGGGCTGACCCAGTCCCGCTCCTGATGCCGGCCGAGCCTTTGGGGCTGCTCCTCCATCTCCCAGGGGTGTTTTGCCTTCAGCCGCTCCTCCCCGGCTCCTGCCGCCCTGCCAACATCCCACATGGGAGCACCCACATCAGCTCCCCTGCCCACCCATGGGCCAAGGGAATACACAGGACTGTTCCTACCCCAGGAAAAGAGGTCAGGAACACTCCCCATCCCAAGAAAATCCCACAACCTGACCAAAGGGGTGGATTAGGATGTTGACACAGGGCTCAAATGGCTCCATGGCCCCAGAAGCACCCCTGTGCCCAAGCCGAGCCTGCAGCCCCACTCCCACTGCTGCACCATGGTGGCACTTGCCTGCAAATCTCAGCATCAGGCCCAGGAATTCTCTGGAGTGACCCAGGAGGCTCGGGCCGGGGCCAGGCGCCTGGCAGGGCAGCTGGACGGGCAGCGAGACGCCGGGATCGGCCCCCCTGCTCCCCGGTGAGGCTCTGTGAACGCTCACGTGCAGCCTCAGTGATGCTGCGGGGCGGCACTGGGGCAGCAAAGGCAGAGCTGTGCCCAGAACCATCCGGCAGGCGCTGGGATGTCCGGTGCTGCCTGTACTTCTCCCAGTTGGGGGGCGGTGGACGGGGAGGAGGGGGACCCTTCTTTTTGGGAATGCCAGCAGGGTCCAGCTTGGCCTGGAGCAGGTCCCTCTGGCTATGGCTCCGGGGGCTGGCAGGCTCCAGGTTGAGGTGGCTCTCGGAGAAGGCTCTCCCTCGCAGCGGGCGGTGCAGGGGGTCTGGAGGGCTCTCAGGGGAGAGGGTCAGGCGGTCACCATCCCATGACAGATCATGTGTAGAAGTGGCCCGGTAGCAGGGCAGCCACTCTGGCTCAGCGCTGCTCCCAAAGCAGGGGTGGAAGGGGCCAAGCCTTGGGAAGCCCAGTTGGTAGCGGGAGAGCTCGCTGGGGAGAGAAGGGGGCACCGATCTCCCAAGTCAGTCACACACACACACACACACACACAAACCCTTCCCTAAACCTAAAGCTCATGCCCTGCCTCAGCTACCAGCCACCGCTACCAGGAGCAGCCCAGGCTCTCCCGTGACTCCATGCTGGGCACAGCCCCCAGAAATGCCTCCAGACCCCTGAGCATGGACCCCTTCCCTGCCTCAGGCATCTCCTCACAGCCCTTGGACTTGCTTGCCCAAGGTAGCACATGTTCCAGCTCTGCAGGGTACAGCACAACTATAGCTGGAGTGTTAAGAGAAGGACCTTGTACATCACGGACCAAAACCACAGCAGCGCCCACACCTCACTGGCAGAGATCATCACTGAGTGGCATGCACATCCCGTTACAGCAGCACCCAGCGCGTGCTCACCTGATGGACTGACTGGCTTTCCTGGTTATTGCTGGTGGCTCCCACTCATCCAGAGGAAATTCCTGTGGGGGAGAAATAGAATCATAGAGTGGTTTGAGACAGAAAAGACCTCAAAATCATCCAGTTACAGCCCCTTGCCATGGGCAGGGACACCTCACCCTAGACCACATCTTTCAAGGTACTGTCTGACCTGGCCTTGAACACTGCCAGGGATGAAGCATTCACCACCTCTTTGAGCAACCAGAACCAGAGCCTCACCATGCTCACAATCAAGAACTTCTGCCTTTTGTCTAATCAACTTCCCCGGTTTCAGTTTGAACCCATCACCCCTTGTCCTATCCTACAGTCCCTGATGAGAGGGAGCTTGAAAGTAAGGTCAGCATCCACCTCCCCAGCACCACCTGGCCCATCCCCACCCAGGCAGAGCAGGCATACAGGGGGTCTGCAGGGACCCCGTGGGCACAGCAGCCCCCATCCCAACCCAGGGTCATGCTGCAGGGGTGCAGGGTGGTGCCAGCACTGCTCGTGGTACAGCCCCAGGGTCTCACTCACCGGGGCAAAGGCTCTCCGCGGGGGCCAGGCATCGCTCTCCTCCCGTCCGGGGCGCAGCGCCGGGCAGCAGCAGTCGGGGCAGCGTGCCCAGGGCTGGGGGTGGCAGCGGCAGGTATGGCCACGAGGCAGCGGCCGGGGGCACGGGTCCCCACCGCAGTAGCGGCAGGGCTCAGGGTGCAGCGGGACCCCGTAGGGATAGGAGAAGCCCCGCACGTACTCCAGCTCCCCCAGCCTCCCCAGCGGCTTGTAGCAGGAAGGCTGCTCCCGGCAGCACTCGGCGTAGGGGCCGGCAGAGCCAGGGCGGCTGGGAGAGGGAGCGGTGTAGGGCTGGTCCACGGAGAGGCGGCGAGGGTCTCGGCGCTCGAGCCCGGAAGGCTGGAAGGCACCGGGTTCACCCGCCTCAGATTTGCCGTGCCGGGGCGGCGCCGGCCTGCTGCTCTCCTCGAAGAAACGGCGGCGGTCAGCGAAGGGCAGGAGAACAGCCTCATCCTCGCCCCGTGGTGGAGAGCCGGGGGCTGCCGGGCCCTGCCCGTAGACCTCCAGCTCGCAGGCGCTTGGCGAACGCCTCAGCGGCAACTTTGGCTCGGGGGACCAGCGCCAGAGGCCCCGGCCTGTCGGCACCGGCCGCTCGGGAGACGGGAGCCCTTTGGGGACCGGGAGCGGGTCAGGGGTGGGGATACCCCGGTCCCCCGAGCGGCCTGGGCTCCTGCCGCCCTCGCTCGGCGTGGGGCTAAGTCGCTTCGGCGGGGCGCGGGGTCCCTCCGCCGGCACGCTGCCCTCGGGGGGCTCCTCCGCCTCCTCCACCGGCTCCTCACCGGGCGCGGGGGCGCCGGCACCACGGCTCTTCTGCAACTGGGCCTTACGCCGCTGGATCTCGTTGCGCAGGCTGGTGGCGAAGCGGTCGCTGCGGCGGCGCATCTGAGAGGAGCGGCGGGGAAGGCCCCCGGCCCGCCGGCCCCCCCCCCCCCGGCTCTCCTCTTCCCCCGGCCCCTCCGTGCTGCGCGCTGGGCTGGCTCCCGACCCGTCCTGCCCGCAGGCTCGCTGCAGCTCCGGGCAGCAGCGGCACGGTGGGAGGCGGCAGCACAGCTCTGGGCAGAACTGCGGGTCCTGGGTAGCCCCTGGCCGGCTGCCCTCGGGGTGCAGCGGGGAGAGAGTCTTGCGGTGCCTATCAGAGGCCGGTGAGGCTTGCCCGCTGCTAGTGCCCACCTGAAGGGAGTGGAGCTGGGAGGCCAGGAGCTGCTCAGGAGCACTGTGCCGGTGCAGCATGTGGCCTTTGAGCGGGGAAAGCAGACGGTTGTCACCTGCTGCCACAGTATCTGGCACTCGGTGTGTGCTGCCATCCGGGTACAGCTGATCACCAGGCTCCACACTCTCCCCCATGAGCAGCTCAGTTGCACACCGGTCTGGGCGGGAGCTCAGCATGTAATACTGGTCGGCAGAGAGACGGTCCTTCGTGGGGTATGGCACCGGTGTCCTACTGCCTGCCGCCTCTGCCTCCCCATCCCGCTGGCAGAGGAAGGTGTCAGAGATCCACCGGCCTTTGACATGCAGCATGTCTGCTGACACCGCAGCCCGGCACCGGTCACCTCCACCAGCTGGGGCTGCCCGCAGGCTGTCCCTCCTCACGGGGGGCTGGGGAGGTACAGACACCCGCAAGGCCTCCGGCTGCCGGCTGCTGGGCGGCTCAGACCCCGTGGTCATGTAGCGCCCATCAGGGGCCTTGCAGGGGGCTTGGAGGATGGAGTCAACAGAGGTGGCCTCCTCGGGGCGGAGAGAAAGGGCACAGTCAGATGTGATGGAGCTGGCGGAAAAGGAGCTGTAGGCCGAGTCCCTCTTGCTGTGGTACATGCCCTGGTCAACGGGTGAGGGGTCCCCTTCATAGTAGGCCTGGCCAGGCTGGTCCAGGCTGTCCATGCTCCCGATGGAGCTGCTCTGGTCGGTGCTGCAGTGCCGGGACAGCGGGTTCCACTGCAGGGACAGCTCACTGCTGCCCGGCCCCATGCCGGAGTTAGGGGTGCCTGCTGACCCCCTCCCAGCACCCCACTAGCCCCTCTGATGGGTATGAGATCCCGGGGAGCCAACATCCCACCACCACATCCCCTCTTCCCTCAGGATAGGGGGGGCACAGGCCAGCACAACCTCAACTTGCCCTCCACTCTGGGCTCGGGGCAATGCAAGGGCTGCCTTGGCTCTGGCAGGTGAAGTGGGCATGGAGATACGGCATGCATGGCTCTGGCCACTTGGGACCTGTCCACTCTGGAAGGGGTGTGGGGCACCAGGGCTCAGCTCCTGGCCAGCCCCAGCAGAGCCACCGCCCCTTCCTGCCGGGAACGGAGGAGTAAACATGCAGGGAAAGGGCAGTGCAGTGGCAGGACGCAGGGGACGGATGCCTGAAAGTGGTGTGGGGTGAGCAAGTGAGCTCACGTCCCACACCCCCCACCACCACAGCCCAAGCAGTGCCCTGTCCACCCCCTTCCTTGCGTGGGAGCCCCATGGGTGGCTTCAGAGTCTCACCTGACATCACACCCCGAGGGCCAGGAGAGGCTGAAGGCATCTGTAGGGCAGTGCATGGCAAGGACATCGGGGCGGCTCTCGGTGAGCTTGGCCACGTGCCAGGAGTGGGGCCGGAGGATGGGCACGCTCCTCCTGCCAAGAGCAACAGCAGGAGAGGATAAGAATGGGGAGGAAGCCAGGCCGAGGAACCGGGCCTGAAGTCACTTCCTACGGGGCTTCCTGTCCCCCCAGGCCAATGCCTGCCCAAGGGGGGATGGCAGTGAGGAGGGTCCAGCCCTGTCAGCACCCAGCATTGGGCAGGGGGATCCCACGGCTTCCCTGTGGCTGCTGGGGCTCCCCTGCCTGCAGCATCCCCGCTGCCAGCACCAATGGGGCACTGAGGGCTAGCCCTTGCAGGGTGAGGGTCCCCGACATGTCCGTGGGCATGCTAAGGGCCCCTGAGGCCACATCTGCAACCCCACTGCGAGCCTGACCTTCCCCCCTCATTCCTGTCCCTCAGCGTCCGCAGCAAGCGCCAGCCACATCCCGTCCCCGGGAAGGGATCCTGTGCCAGGCCCCTCTCATTCCCTGTGCCAGGCAGTCATGGGGGTCTCCAGTCCCCCAACACATGCAGGCAGCAATGTCCGGTGCCACCGCCCAGATGTGCCGGCAGATACCACCTCCTGTACCCTCCCAAGTGCCTGGTGCTGTTCCAGCATCTGCTGGATGCGCGGGCAGGGTGGCAGGCACGAGCTGTGGGGTCAGCACAAGGGTCCCTCCTTCCTAAAGCCCCCCAACTCACCATGGATGATGCTGAGCCCTGGTACAGCCCCGTGGGCAGTGCCCTGCACTGCCCCAGCCCCTGGGTGCTGCTGGATCTGGAGCCCGGTCGAGATGCAGCCAGGGAGTGGATGTGGGTTGCAGCGGGGAGCGAGGGGGGGGGGGGGCTACAGGGCCTTGGCCCTGCCTCCCCTTCCTTTCCCAGGCAGGCAGCAGGCAGGCAGCAGGCAGGAAGGGAGAGGAGCGGCCAAGCTCGAGGATACCGCCCAGCCAGCGGCTGGCAAGCCTACCGCACTGCCTCGGCTCTGCGGGCAGCACACGGGCCTGGGGAACCCCCACCCCACCACGGGGTGCTTGCAGTCACGGTGGGGCTGCCCCACGCCCCAGCTCAGCGCAGGACGCCGCCGGGCTCCCATCAGTTCCCCAGGCAGGAGATGCCCCTCCCCAGCTTTGCCGCCCTCCCGTACCCCCGACCCGCGGCGCCGCCAACCTGCGGACGATCATCTTCAGGGTGCGGTAAGAGCCCTTGATGAGGATCAGAGCCTCCTGGCGAGACCCGTAGAGCGGCGTCCCGCTGATGTTCACCAGTTCATCACCCGGCTGCAGCCTGTGGGACAGTGCAGCCTTGCCCCCCTCCTCTACCTGGGCAACAGAGAGGGGTGTCAGGTAGGGCAGAACCCCCAGAACAGGCTGGGGAGCATGCTGCTGTTGCTGCTGCTGGGTGCCAGGTGAGAAAGAGGCTTCAGAGAGGGGGTGCCTGTGCCCCAGGCACTGCAGAGGGATCTGCAGCACTGGGCTTCCCCCCCCCCGCCCCAGTCACATGAATTTCTGAGCAAGGAAAGGGCACTGGAGAAGGGGGAGAAGAAAAATGTCCCGTACCAGCAGATTCCCCCGCAGGCACGGGCAGCACAAGGGCCCTTTGTACGAGGTGGATGCCAGCCCCCTGCTTCTGCTCCCAGTCTTGTGTCAGCCCTGCCCCAGCACCCACAATTAATTCAATGCCCAAAGGATGCCAGCGCACCGCATACACCCAAGGGAGCCAGCGACAGGGAAAGCACCAACTGTGCCCGGCTCTGGCATGCACTTACCCTATCCTAGCACCCACAGCCAAAATGAGGCAAGTACCCTGTACTGCCACAGCTTGGAAGACACAGGGCCATGGTGCTGCCAGCACGGAGGACCCCCAGCCCATCCCCTCTGCCCCAGCAGGTAGGTGCAGCACAGGCAGCCCTGGGATGAGCAGTGCCCCCCAGGTCAGGCAGAGTACCAAGTGCTGGCCCTGATTGCTGCCCATCCTGCCACTCCTGATGGCCGGGGATTGCCATGCCCAGCCCCTCAAACCAGAAAGCTGGCAAGCAAGCCCAGCTGCTGGGCTGCATGGTGGCAGTGGCAGAGGGTATACAGGCACATGGACCAGGACCTGAGGTGCCCTATGCCCCCCAGGGGCCCAGCGTGGATGTGGAGCCTGACCTGGACAGATGCTACAGCCACCCGCAGCATGACGAGAGGAGCTGGCCTGGCCACGTGCAGGCACGTGCAGACTCCTGCGCCCACCCTGCCCACAGGGTCCTCGCCCTGCCCTGCCATCCCAAGAAACAGGAGAGAAACAAGCTCTGCCAACAGTGCCTGCAGCACCATCTCCGCAGCCCAGCCTGGGAGTCAGCCAGGCCCCGATGCCTGGGGGCACCCACAGCTCCCCAGCAGGCCCCCATCACACATGTGCCCTCAGGCATTCCTTCCCAGCCCTTGCACAGGGCAGGGCTCAGGGGGCATCCCGCTGTCCGTGGGCAACATGGCACCAGGGGAGCCAGGCAGGGGCAGCTCCATCTTCTGCTCATCCTGGCACTGCCCCATGGCTCTGCCTGGCAAGGCTCTGCCCGGCAAGGCTGTGCCCAGCACTGCACAGTTCTCCCATGTTTTCAGGGACCTGGGGACTGCAATGCCATGCCCAGGCTGGGCAGAGCCCAACATGCCTGCTGTGCAGGCTGCTCTCCCACCCAGAAGTCAGCCTTGGGGCTGCCTTCCTAGGACAGGCCCCAGATGCCTGCAAGGGCTCCTGGTCCCATCATGAACTTGCTGGAGTACCAGTGAACTCAGCGCAGGCAGCCAAACTGTGCTGCCATCTGCCCTGCCCAGCTGGGCCAGACCTGAGCACTTCCCTATCACCAACCCCCCCATGTTCACTCTGGGCCCTAATGGTGGGCACCAGCTGGCTCACAGGAATATCTTCCTGCCCCTGAAGAGACTTGTCTTAGGAGTCACAGCCACGACAGCCCTTGAACTGCACCCATTCTGTGCCCCCCCCCCCCCCCCCCCCCCCGACCTGTATCCATGCTCCCAGTGTGCCTGGCTAGGGAAGCCTGTGCTGTGGAAGGGTGGGGTGTTGCTCAGAGCCCCGCGGAGGGCCCGCAGCCCACACCAACCCTGCCGTGGGAATCTGCAACAGGAAGGGATCCTGCGTGACGCGGGCTCAGAGACCGAACTGTGCCGGCGAAGACCGGGAGCCCCTTCCCCTTTCCGGTGCGAGGCCCCGGCTCCCCGCGCGGCTGGCGGGGGCTGCCCCCTCCTCGCACCGGCCTCGGCGGCAGAGCGGGTTCCCCGGGGGATCCTCCCCTGAATGCACAGAGCGCTGAAACAAGCCCCCTTTGTCTGCAGAGCACACGCGGTGCGGCGGTCCGGCCGGGGAGCGCGGGGGGCGGCACCCCTCCCCGGCCAGCAAGCCCCCCCCCCCATGTTCTCAGCGGCGGTGGGGAGCATCCCCGTCCCATCCCCTCCTCCAGCAGCCAGGGCACCCAACGGGACCCACTGCCCCGAGACACGGCAGCCAGTCGGGGGGCGGCAGTGGCCCTCCCCCGTCGGGCCCCCGCAGGGCCCCAGCTCCCGCCCACCGGCAGTGCCACCCCGGGCGCAGGGCAGGGACCAGAGCCACTTTTCCAGCTTCCCCAGCCAGACCACGCTGCTCGCGTCCCGGCGCAGGGTGTGGAGAGCCCCAGGGGGCAGCCAGCCCGGCTCGGGGCAGGCGGGCGGGCAGGCAGCCCCGGGGCCGCGGCGCAGCCCGGCCCGCCAGCACCCTGGCCCCGGCTGGACGGTGGCACCGGCGGGCGGGCAGCTAAATCACTCGGTTGTAGGGGCTTGGCGGGGTACCGGGTGCTGCCTGGCTCCTAGCGGGTTACCAGGGAGGGCGATATCTCGGCGAGGCCACGGGAGTGACTGACCCCCTGCGTGGCAGGACGTCGCGGCCGTGGGGCCCCACCCTCGCTCTCCGCGCTCCCGACTGCAGAAGGGACCCGGACGGCCGGGCCCTGCGCCGCCCGCTCGGCGCTGCACCCCGATGCCAGCACCCTTCGTCCTGGCACGGCCCTGCCCAAGCGTTTCGCGGGTGCCCAAAAGGGACGGGCACAAGGGGGGGTGAGGGGGGCTGCCCCGCCCTGGCTGAACCCTGCGGAACGGGCCCGGGACGGGGGGGGCGCGGGAGCCGCCGTCAGCCCAACGGATGTGCCGGAGGAATTTCTTCCTGCCGCCGGGCCCGGGCTCTCCCTCCGCCTCCTCGACCCCCGCGGCCCCGCTCCCCCTCTCTCCCACGGCTTGCGGGTCGGACGTGGGTGCGGGTGATCGCCACGGCCCGGCCCCGCCGCGATGGGAGACGCGACCCCCCGGCCGGGGCTGCCCGTGTTCCCAGCGCCGCCTCGCACCGGGTGTCGCCTCTCCCCTCGCCCCCCGCGCCCCGCCACGGGTCAGAGGCCGCTGGTGGGGGAATGCCGCTGAGCCCCCGCGTACCTTGGACACGATGAGGGGCTCGCCGTGCTCCAGCCCGCCGCGCAGCGTGAAGCCCCAGGGCGCTCCCCCCTGCAGCTGCACGTGCACGTACTGGGGGGCTCCGGGCCGGCCTTCGGCCCGCTCCATGGCCACTACTGCCCCATCCCTGCCCGGCCCGGCACCGCACGACAGAGGAAATAACACCTCAGCCCGCCCGGGCTGAGCGGCGCGGAGCAGAGCTGCGGGGCGGAGCCGGCCCGGCACCGGGGCTGCCCCGCTGCCGCCAATAGGGCGCGGGGGGACGGTACGGCTCGGTGAAGCACGGTACAGCACCGCTAGGTACAGCTCTATTTGGCTGGCCGCGGCGCCGCTCAACTCAGCCCAGTTCAGCCCAGCCAGGGCACAGCTCAGCTTTGGCACGACTCAGCACAGCATAGCTCAACTTATGGCATGGCTTCAGCACACATTGGCACAGCACAGAACGGTGCTGTTCAGCTTGGCTTGGCGCAGAACAGCTCTGTCCGGGCACCTGTACTGAGCTGCTTGGCTCAGCTCGGCATCCTAGCCAGCAGGTTTTGACTCAGTCCAGCTCAGCCAAGCATGGCACAGTTCAATGCAGTGCAACATAGCGCAGCACAGCTCAGCCTGGCACAATTTGGCTCATCCTAGCGTGGGATGGCAAAAGGGACAGCATGAGTTGGCTGGCCCAGTATGGCTCAGCCTGGCATGGTTCAGTGCAGCTCAGCTCAGCTGGCACATTCTGTCATGGCTCAGCTCAGCATGGCATGATGTGGGCTGGCATGGTTCAGTTTGGTAGAGCATGGCACAACCAGTGCCCTGGCCTGTTTTGGCTCTACTTGGCCTGCTCAGGTTTCACTCAGTGCAGTTCAGCTTGGGTTGGCACGGACAAGCAGGGCTGGCACAGTTCAGGTCACCACAGCATGGTCTGGCCTGGATTAGTTTGGCCTGGCATGGTTCAGCACAGCATGACCCGGTCTGGAGCAGCACAATATGGTGCCACCAGGGACCAGCACCACTGGGGCCAGCTCGGCAGAGCTCAGTTGGGCACAGCATGGCTTGCCATGGCACAGCTCAGCCAAGCATGGTGGTGTGGTGTGGCCAAAAGTTTAGGGATGAGGGGTGCCTGCTCGGGTGGTGATCATATGATGCAGCACCTGGCGGCTCCCTGCTGGCACTGGCACTCTTGTTGGCACCCAGAGCTCTGCTGCCTGCAGGCAAGCTCACGCTGCCAGCTCCTGTCTGGCCTGTCAGGCTCCGGGGACTGTGCGTGACAGTGTGGCCATGCTTCACTTCTGCCTTTCCACCACCAGGCCCAGGTCCAGGAGGGGAAACTGAGGCAGGGGAAGGAGACGCCAAGCGGCATCTGGGGCGGTGGGAGTGAATCAGCACCAATTCCCCGGAGAGCACAGGCGTCCCGCTCCTCCCCTTCCCGCCTGGGGCCTTGGCTCTTACTCATCTCCTTCCCAGACAGAGCAGCCGGCCCGGAAAGCTCTGTGCTGCCAGCAACGCCCGTGGCCCTGGCTGCCTGTGGGCTGGGTGGGCGCCTGGGAGGGTGGTCTTGTGGTGCCAGGCGGGTGAGCTCCTCCCAGGCTGCCTGGCTCCAGCATGGGAAGGGTCCCTCGAGTTTTTCTTGGCAGCCCTAGTCCACCAGTGCTGGCCTTGAATCCTGCCTGCACCCTGGCCAGACCAGCTGCAGGCAGCCCAGTGCATGTGTCCTGTCCTTGTGCCACAGGGTCCCAGGGCAGGGGGTGAGGGCAGTCCCCAGGCCATTTGGGGTGCTGGAGCCCAGTCAGCAGGGATGTACAGCCTGCCTCACACTGTCTGGCCATGCCCACCTCTGGCCTGACTCTCCTGCACTGCCCATGCCTCCCACTTAGCCTTTCTGCTCCCCCTTGCCATGCCCCTCACTCATGGCCGCTTCCTGCCATGCCTGGATTTTCCCATCCTCAGGCTCTGCTGCCCCCATGCCCTTTCCCAGATGAGTAACCGGTGCTGCCCAGCCAAGCGTGAGGCTCTGCAAGCGCTGTGCCCTGGTTTCTCACGTGGCCTCACACTCCATTAAGCACTTCTGCCCTCTCCCCATCCCAGCACCCCACAGTCGTGCCAGCCCTTGCCTGTGCCTGCCTGGTACCAGAAAGGGGGGGAAAGCACCAACACCCCTTTCCCCACTCCCCCATGTCCCTTTGCCTGCACCAGTGGTTCCCAAACAATGTGTCCACCCTGCCTGGCTCCCTCCATCCTAGCAGTAGAGCCACAGTGTCCTAAGGAGCCGGGCACCATGCCCGGAGCTCTGCAGGGGGCACCTCGTTTTGCCCCCAGAGCCTGCCTCAGGTAAGCACCACCAGGCCACTGCAGCACCAGAGCTGGGGTGGCCACATCTCCTGTATGGGTAATGCTTCAAATACTGTATCAGCAAGAGCTGGGACAGCCAAGCCCAGCATAGCCACGTGGTGATGTCCACAGTGGGGGTACCACTGGCTGCCCTGGTTGCACTCATCGCTGCTGGTATCTGGGTAACTCTGCCCACCTATGTGTGCCGTGGGCTTGATGCCCATCTCTCAGCTGGGGAAAGTGAGGCACTGGGCAGCCTGGCTGTGCCATGGGGCCTGCCCAGCCACAGGTACCCAGGCTCTGTGCCTGCTCTGGGCAGTGTCTCCCAGCTTGCAGCAACTGGCACAAAGGTGCTGAGCCCTCTGCCAGAGTCGGCATGGGTCAGGAGGAAGCCGAGGGGGCTCTCACCTTAGCAGATCATCCCACCAGACTCCAGCCCCACTCCCCTGGGAATTTGGATGTTCCTGGCCCTTTAAACCTTGATTGGGACCGTGCCTTTAAAATGAACCCCTGGGGCAGGAGATCTCACCCTGCAGGAGGAGGCTGGCCAGAAGCAGGTGGGCTGAGCAAGCTGGTCTTCCCCACCCCACCCCACCCCCTTTACAGCCCCAAGGCCAGGCGCTTGCCCGGTTGGTTTTGCCCTGGTCGGGGTTTTAGTCTGGAATTTGCACCTTTTTTTGCATCCGTGTGTTGTCCCCCGTCTCCCCCTCCCCCTTCTGTTTCTGAACAGAAGCAGCTGGTAGCACCCTGGGGTCCTTTTTCTGGTGCCAGCGACCAGCTCTGCCTCCCTACATGGGAGAAGCATAACTGCAGGCTCACCCTACTCCTGTTGCTGACCAGCCTCACCTTGCCCTGCTCACCTACTTCCCCCTACACGTATTATGGCTTCGCTCCATCACTTCACCAGCCTCCTCCTTCTTCTCGCTGTGCCCCTTTCACGGGCTGCAAGCAGGTCCCCACTGTCCCCCAGCGCCCTGCCTGCCGCCCCTGCTCTGCCCCTCCTGCAGGCCCTGCAAGCGCGGGCACCGGGCAGCTGGGGCTGGCGAGCAGGGCCAGCGGGCGGGCAACCGCTGCACTACATGCTGAGCCTGTACCGGCGCGCTGCTGACAGCGAAGGACGACCCCGCCGCAGCCGCAGCCTGGGCACCAACACCATCCGCCTGATCCGGAGCAGTCCCCATGGAGGCCAGCCCTGGGCAGGTAAGGAGCAGGCAGGCACCAAGGGCAGTGTGGGAGCTTAGCAGAGGTGGTGAAGTGGGTTTGAACCCTGGGGTATCTCTGCCTGCCTCCTTCCCCCTGTTCACGGTGTTCCAGGCAAGGCTGGCACATCCCCTGTGGGGTCCCCCTTGGCAGGGGCCACAGCCTGTCCCAGCCCTAGGGGTGAGATGGGCAAGGCACTGCCAGCCCCGCATGCCTCTCCTCTTCCCATCCTGGGCAGTGGTGTTGGTGCAGAGGGTGGGAACTGCCCGAGGCGTTCTCTGCCCTTCACCCAGCAGGGGAGCTGTGGCCCGCAGCTACTGCTTGCTGAGGTCTCCGTGCAGCCCCGCGGCAGCAGCCCCCTGATGGGTGCAGCGCCTCCTCCTGGGGGAGGCTGTGCCGGGCCGATGCCTGCTGTGCCGCACGGTAGCGGGGGCGCTGACTGCTGCTTTTCCCCAGGTCGCTGGTACGTGCAGCCCCTCACCTACCGCCTGGAGGGCCAGCCTGAGGCCGAGCACCTCCTCCGAGCCACCGTAGTCTACCTGCCGAGCCTACCGCTGGCCCGTGGTCGCCTCCTCTGTGCCCTGGAGCTGTCGGACACCAGCAACGGACCCGGGGCGTTGCTCAGCCCTGTCGCCCGCCCGCGCCGCGGCTGGGCCGAAGCGGATGTCACCCCTTACCTGGTGCCAGGGAACGGCAGCGCAGGGAGCCTGGCACTGCGGCACGTCTGTGTACGTGCCGGCCGGGCCAGTGGCCGCGATGCCCCGGTAGTCCCCAGCCACCCCTTCCTCCTCCTTTACCTCAACGACACCCAGGCTGGACTGGCATCTCTGGCAGCAGAGCCCCATCGGCACCGACGTGACACAGGGATACTGGCCCACGACCTGCTGGGCTACTTGCAGGAGCAGGAAGGGGAGAAGAGTGACTGCTCCCTCCGCCCCTTTCCCGTCAGCTTTGCCCAGCTGGGCTGGGACCACTGGATCATCGCTCCCCATCGCTACAACCCACGCTACTGCAAGGGTGCCTGTCCCCGCCTGCTCCGCCATGACTACCACGCACCCAACCATGCTGTGGTGCAAAGCTTTGTCCATCAGCTGGTGGATGCCAATGTGCCCTGGCCCTCCTGTGTCCCCTACCGCTACAGCCCCATCAGCGTTCTCATGATCGAGCGTGATGGCAGCATCCTCTACAAGGAGTATGAGAACATGATAGCAGAGTCCTGCACCTGCCGGTAATGCTGCTCGGGTACATTGCCCCAGGCTCTGCCTGGCCCTGCCACATCGGACTCCAGGGATTGTCTTGCTCTGCCTGGGGTGATTCATCTCCCTTCCCTGCGTGGCAACTCTTCTGCAGGAAGGTTTTACCATGGCAGTTTTATGTAAATTGTAGTTTTTTAAAGGCAGGCACCTGTGATAGGGTGGTTGCCCTGTGGCATCTGTCCTTCCTGCAGCCCCAAGGCTGCTGCCCGCTTTTGGGGGGCGGGAGGGCTTGGCTTGATGCTCCTGGAGGAGAGCTGTGTCCCTGAACTGGAGTATGAAGCATCTAAGACGTGGCTGGGGATCTTCTGGTGGAGCCAGGGCAGGGAGGGTGAGCAGTCCAGATGTTTCTGTGCTTGGCACCAAGCTGGTGTTATCAGTATCTGATGCAGTCTTGCCTGTGGGATTCCTTCCAACCTCATGTGCACCCAATCCTGTCTAGTCCCAGCTGCAGCTGCATCTCACTGGGCTGGGAATCAGGCTTGGTGGGGAGGGGGACCCATCTCCTGCCCAGTGGCTCTGCTCTGGGGGGCTGTGGAAACTGGAAGGACCCGAGCTGCCAGCTCTGTTCCTGGTGCTGGGGTCAGGCAGCTGCCTGTGCAGGCTCTGCCTGCTGATTCCTCTGCCACCCCTATCTTGTCCTTCACCTCTTTAGCTTGCCCTCTAGCAGGGCTGAAGTCTCACCCCTATTCTAGGAGTTGTGCCTTCAGTTGCAGTGTCCCTCCGTCTTCTTGCACTCTTGTTTCATGGGGCTTGGCCTCCCAGCCTGTGCCTGCTCCTGGAGGGGCTGGTCGCACTTCCAGCACTCCAGCCACCTGACTTTCCTCTATTTATTGCTGTGTAAATAAATAAACTGATGGATTTTGCTAAAGACCATCTTGGCCTGTTATTGCTCTGTCTCTGGGGTCCAGTAGGTCCCCCCCTCCACACCCCCCCCCCCGGCTGGGCGTGTGCAGACTATGTTGCTGTGCAGCCACCCTTGTGCTTGCGCTGGAGAGGGTGGGTGCGGATCCCTGCTGCATGCAAGAGTTTAAAGCCCAGCTGGTTCAAGCAGAAGAAGGGGTTGCCCTGGACCATAGGCCTGCCCTGGGTCGGGGAGGACCAGATCTGGCTGCAGGCAGCTGCACTGGTGCGGCTGGGGACAAAAGATCCTCTTGTACCTCTATATGGGGCAGCTCCTGGGGGACCAATATACTGCATCTCTCTGGGCTGTCTGACACCATGGCCAAGGCGTTTGACTGCCAGGGTTATTTTGGGAGGGTGTCTGTAGGCAAACCTGCCCATTCCAGGACACAAGACCCCATGTTTGCAAAGTTCCCCTTCTTTGAGCAGTGAGGCATGGGTGGCAGCAGTAATCCTTGTCCCCAGTGCTTGATGGCACTACCAGCTGGGTACTGTCTCTGCATCCTTGTCTTGTGGCTCTTGGCCTCTAGCACTATCTGTTATTTCTGTCCCAAGCTCCGTGGGGATGTTTCAGCACTTCTTCCTCCTGTGGGTGTTTGCTGTGGGGAAGGGTGCTGTTCAGCCCCCTACCCTACCCGCCACCTCCAGAGTTTCTTCCCCATCTTGACAGACTGAGACACTTCAGAGCCTTGTGATCCTCTCCTGCTTCTGGGCACACATCCTGCCAGGAGGCTTGGGGAGGGAAACCACTTTTGCTTTGTTGAATGCTCCTGGACCTGACCCCAGAGGGAAGATTTTCCCCTGTCAATCAAATGCATGTAGTGGGCTCATCCAGGCAAGCCATGATGAAAGGCACAGGAGCTGGGCATACTCCCAGCCCTGGGCATCACTAGATGCCAGTGCCTGGTTCTGCCCATGGCTCAGACCTGTAACCAGGCCTGCTGTGAGCATTGCTCAAACCTGCTGGGTGACCAGAAGCAGATGGGCACTGGGGTTTGTCCCAGCCCTGTGTCCTTGCAGGCACTGTGCTGGTGGGCTCTCCTGCCCGTTGGACTGGACATCTTTGGGTACCCCAAGGTGCCAAGGGGCTGCACCAGCAGTGTGATTTCCTCTGCACTGATAGTGGGGCTTGTGCTGCCAAAGGGATGGAGGAGCAGCAGTTCACGGAAAGAGCCACTGTCCCTGGCTGACCATGGCATCGTGCCGGTACCAGCACCAGGGCTGTCAGGGCAGAGCCATGCAGATGGTGCAGGGCTCCCGGCCGTGTGCCCTGGGGCTCCTCTGGGTCATACGAAGGGTGACATGGGGCCATCCTGCCACCTGTGGCAACTCAAATATTTGTGCAGGGCTGTGACCTGGGAGGAGCAGTGCCCAGCAGCAGCACTGATGGCCAGAGCTAACAGCACCATGGCAGCCTCAGCCCCTGCCGTGCTGTGCATCAGCTGAGGTAGCAGAGCCAGGGGGGCTTCCTCTGCTCCCCTGGGCACTGCCACCTGCCTGGCGCTGCTCCTCTCCCTCCTCTTGCTTCTCCCCAGCTCTCTCCAGGTGAGTCTGGGCATGGAGGGTGGGCAACAGGGGCTCGGGGGCTTGGCACACCTTTTTCTGCCCCATCTGCCCCTCTGGGTGCTGCAGAAGTCCTGGGTGAGGACAGGGAGCAAGTGCTCCCCCGGCTGCCCCATATGACACCCATCTGGAAGATGGTGGGTAGCAGACCCCTGGGAGTCCACTGCCACTGCAGCCTCGAGTGTGTCACCAGGGCCTGCAGGTGAGCAGGGACCCCTGCTTGTCCTCTCCATTACCCCCTCCCTGCCCAGCCTCACCTGCACTCCTGGAACCACACATATCTGTTTCTACATTGTGTCCAGCCCTGGCACCTGCCCATGTACCCCAATGTCCCCATCCCTGGGGCCTCACAAGTACCCCAGTCCCATCAGCCTCCTCAGCTTCGGGAGTTCTCCACCCTGGGACATGACCCCACTCCCTGCTCTCTTCAGACCAGGGACCTTATGGGCGCCCTAGTCCCAGTGTGTCCCCGTCCCAGTGCCCCAGCCTGTGCAGCCCCATGGCCAAGCCTCAGCAGAACCCAATTTTGTCCCCAGCCCAGAGATGCCTCCCCCGAGGGACTCTGGCACAGTGCTCACCGCCACTCTGCCCCACAGGGCCAGGCGCTGTGCCCCACCACAGTATGAGTGCTGACAGCCACCAGCACCCCAGGAGTTTCCACCCTGCATGGGGCCACTGGAGACCAGAGTGCACCGTGCATTTACTGCCAGGCCAGGACTCCTCAGCAGCCACATGTACCCTGGCAACCCTGGGGAAGGACTGTGCCACCAAGCTCCTGGGGCAATGCTGTGGCTCAGCCACTCCGGATGTTCCATGCAGGTAATAAACCCACTCCTCCCTGCCTGCGTCCAGCAGCTTCCTGCCCTGCCTGTGCAAAGATGAACAGGTTACACAGGGGTTACCAGGGTGGCATAGGGTGGCACATGGGCTCCTGCCTCTTGCCCAATGAGTGCTGAGTCCACCACAGCCCCCGCTTGGCCCCCACCTGCCCAGGTGGGGAGAGGGATGCTGGGAACCCCCAGGAACCCACCGCACCTGCACGCTGCCAAAGTGCCTATATGCGCGTGAGCATATTTGTGCATATGCACACCTCTGCTTGTGCCTATACATGTAGGTGTATATATATGTGCCTATGTCTCTGCATGTGCATGTATATTATTATGTATGTGCATGGGAAATGTATGTGCACTTGCGTGTATGCATGTATACGTATGTCTATGCATGTGTGTGTATACGTGGGTATGTATATGCGTGTACACATGTGGATGTACATATGTGTGCATGTGCACGTATTCCTGTCTCTGTATATGTGTGGATGCCTGTATGTGCCACGTGTGTATGTGCTGTGTACTCATGAAAGTGCACGAGTAAGTATACATGCACAGGTGTGTACAGACGTGCGTGCATGGATGCGCATGCACAGACGGGTCTGCCTGTGCACGTGTTTATGCCGGTAGGTGTATGTGCAGGTGTGCATATCCATGCCGCTGTGTGCCTGTCCACACTGATGCACACATCCATGTCTCTGTCCATACGCCGGTCTGTGTGCCCGTGCAGCCACCCCTGGCACGCGCGTCCCTGTGTCCGTACAGTCCCGGTGTCCGCACAAAGCGCGGCGAGACCTCCTCCCACCAGGGGGCGCCGCTCACCTTCCCCCATTCCCAGCGCCCTCCACCGCATGACCGCCGGGGCCCCTCGGAACTGGGTCCTGCCCGCTCCGTAGTGAGCACCCGGCGGGCCGGGACCGCCGCCCTCGGCGTGAAGCGCTGAGCAGGACGAACGGAGAGCGCTGAGCAGCGTGGACCAGCGCGGACGGGGAGGCCGCTCCTAAGGTGCCGCGATGCTTGGGGCAGTGCTGCAGGCGGCAGCGAGCGGGCGGTGCCGGGAGGCGGGGCGCTGCCAGGACCCGGAGCAACGCGGGCCGGCCCCTCAGTGCCGCTGTCCGTCGCGCCCGGTGTTGCTGCCGTAGCCGCCGCCATGCGCAGCCGGAGCAATTCGGGCGTGCGGCTGGACGGGTACGCGCGCCTGGTGCAGCAGACCATCCTCCGGCACCAGGTGCGGGACCGTGTCCGGGGAGGGAGCCGGAGCAGGGCGGAACCTGCCCCACCGCAGGCCCCTGCCGACCCCCGGGCCTGAGGCGCTGCTGCCCGACCCCGCTGGCCGCATCGGCCGTGGCTAACTGGGAAACGGGCCGCGGCCCCTCGGTGTTGCCCCCTCTGCAGGACGCGGTGACGGGCCTGCTCCCCGCCAGCGCCGACCACAGGGATGCCTGGGTGCGGGATAACGTCTATAGCATCCTGGCCGTCTGGGGGCTGGGCCTGGCCTACCGCAAGAATGCCGACCGCGACGAGGACAAGGCGAAGGCCTATGAGCTGGAGCAGGTAAAAGGGAGCCGGCGGGAGGGAGGGCCCATGGCGGCCGCCCAGTCTGACCGGTGGTACCCGGACCCGACTGTCACCTCCCGGCTGGATTGCTTTAGGCACAGCCAGGCTCTGGGACCAAAGGGCCATGGGAAACTATGCAGTGAGGATAGGGACAGTGCTGGCCCTAGGCGCAGGGGAAGACACACAGTAGAAAAGAACCTCAGAGCTTGCTCTTCCCAGAGCACGGTGGAGCCCAGCTAGAGGGTCCAGCTCTCTGGCTCTGGGGTGGTCTCGGGCTGCAGTCCTTCTCCCAGAGGCTAGCAAGCAGCATCCTGCTGCCATGCCCTCTGTTCCCCTGTACGGTAGCTTGGCTTTGCTGGCTGGTGAAGAAATCATGCTTCCCTGTGCTGTTGCCTAGGGTGAAGGGGCCCTGGAAATGTGAGCAGGGGCTCCAGTTACAGACTGCAGAGCTCCACAAAGGTCAGCAGCCAGCTGATCCTGAGTCAGGGCTTCTGCCGGCCACGTGGGGATTTACAAGGCTGCTTTCCTTTTTCCTGCAGAGCGTGGTGAAGCTGATGCGGGGGCTGCTCCAGTGCATGATGAGACAGGTAGGGGGCTGGGGAGTGCCTCTAAGGGTCAAGTGGTCCCCTCAAAGCCCAGCTTGCTACAAAGACTGTCAGTCCCAGCTGTGCCATCTCTCCCCAGCCTTCACTGGTGAGCGGAGGGGAGGCCTCCTTCCAACAGGTTTCGAAATAAAGTCTGTTGGCATGTCCCTGGTGTGATGGAAGTCCCAATGCTGTGGGCTGGTGGCCAGCAGAGCCTTTGCCACCTGCTCCCTTCTTTTGTGGCCTGGCTGGTGCTGGGACTCTGCAGCTGTTCTCCTTGAGAGCACTTGTGGCCCTTTTCACTGCACTCAGTGCAGCCATGTCTGTGGGCTTTCCATAGTTGCAGCCCTGCACTAGGGCGGCACATGACTGTTGGTGCGTGGAGGGGCTCAGTCTGGGGGCTGTAGGATTTCTGCTCTGCCAGGCGTGGCACTGCATGTTGGGCTGATGGCATGGGTTAGCCCTTGTCTCCAGGGCTGCCAGACCTCTCTGGAGACAGGGTTTCATGAATCCATGCATCTCCTTGCCCTTTTCAAGGTGGACAAGGTGGAGGCATTCAAGTACAGCCAGAGCACCAAGGACTGCCTGCATGCCAAATACAACACCCATACCTGTGCCACTGTGGTGGGGGACCATGAGTGGGGTCATCTACAGATGGATGCCACCTCTCTCTACCTGCTCATGCTGGCGCAGATGACAGCCTCAGGTGATGCTATTGGGGGATGCCATTGCAGCTTTGAGCATGTTTATCTCCCAGACTTTTCCATGTTCTTGGTTTGGGTGCAACTTCTTGGGTGACAAGCTGCTGCAGTGGCCTCAGTGACTTCCCTCTTTTATTATACTTGCAGCACCCAATGTGGATTTGGGCCCCTCGGTGTCTGTCTGTCTAAGAGCCCCTGTTTGCCTGAAGCCTCAAAGCTTCCATAGCAGGGTGGGAGTAAGGATGAGAGCCAGTTGGGATGTGGCAGGCATGCTGTGAGGAGCACAGGGGCCAGCTTGTGTCACTGCAGCCCCTTCCTAGGGTTGCCTGTGGGCTTGGGGCGACTAATGTGAATTGCTCCCCCTGCTTCAGGCCTCCACATCATCGACAGCCTGGATGAAGTCAACTTTATTCAGAACCTCGTGTTCTACATTGAAACAGCCTACAAAACTGCGGTGGGTAGCCCGTGCTGGGGAAAGAGGATGCAGGTGGTGGGCTGGTGCCCAGGGGCAGCTGTGGGTCACTCCTGGCTCCAGTGGGCAGAGTCCCACTACGCTTGCTGGGAGCAACGTGGGCCAGCCCTCCAGTGCCACTGTCCATTGCACCCGGTGTTGCTGCCGTAGCTGCCGCCATGCACAGCCAGAGCAATGGGCGTGCGGCTGGACAGGTACACGCGCCTGGTGCAGCAGACCATCCTCCGGCACCAGGTGCGGGACCGTGTCCGGGGAGGGAGCTGGAGCAGGGCGGAACCTGCCCCACCGCAGGCCCCTGCCGGCCCCCGGGCCTGAGGTGCTGCTGCCCGACCCCGCTGGCCGCATCGGCCATGGTTAACTGGGAAACGGGCCGCGGCCCCTTGGTGTTGACCCCTCTGCAGGGTGGGATTTGAAGTCTTTCTGGACATGCTGTGAACTATTGCCCACTCCAATGTGCCACTGTCTCTGCACAGGACTTTGGGATATGGGAGCGTGGAGACAAGACAAACCAGGGTATCACCGAGCTGAATGCTAGCTCTGTTGGCATGGCCAAGGTGAGCTGGAGGGAGAGGTGCTGTTGCCAGAGAGCACCGGTGACCCCATGCTGCTTTTTTGTAGAGAAGGCTGGGCATGTTTAACTACTGAAGCTCAACTCCCCAAGAAGTTGAGTTCCTGGGGAGGATGGCTTTTCACTTTGTCTGCTGGGATAAAACTGCTCCTCTTGCTCAAGTTGTGCCTGAACCAGGAGTGAGAACTTAATTGGGGTGTGTGGCAGAAATGTCCAGGGCCTGTGAGATATAGTCATATTCTTACCAGGGTGCTCTGCAGCCACAGCAGGGTTTGCGTTTGTTTAAATTTTGGAAGTGTGGCACACACAGGGGCTGGCACAGGGTGTGAGTGCTTTCAGATGAGCAGCATGGTGCAGGACTTGCTGCTTTGAGTCTCACCCTGCTTGTAGGCTGCCCTGGAGGCACTGGATGAGTTGGATCTCTTTGGAGCAAAGGGAGGCCCACAGTCTGTGATAAGGGTGCTGTCGGATGAGGTCCAGCATTGCCAGGTGAGACCTGCATGGGCTTTACACCATCGCAAGATGAACTGTGATCTGCTGGTTTTGCGGTGTGGATGATGCCTGGCCTGGGAACCTAAGCACCCCTACTTTCCCCTCCAACCAGTCCATCCTCCACTCGATGCTGCCCAGGGCCTCCACATCCAAGGAAGTTGATGCCAGCGTGCTCTCTGTCATCTCCTACCCAGCGTTTGCTGTGGAGGACAGTGAGCTGGTGGAGATCACTAAGCAAGAGATCATCATGAAACTGCAGGTGAGTGGCTTTGCCCTTGTCTTGCCCTCCCCAAGAGGCAGCTGCAGTCCCAACTGTTGTAGCCCTTTTCTCCCCAAAAATATGCTCAGGGATGAGGTGCTGGGCCGTGTCTTCTCCCAGTCTCCATGACTCGTGGCCAGGGTGTGCCAAGTGAGTCCTGTGTGCTGTGGCCCTAGGCTGTGGTTGTAGTACCTAAGCTCTAGGTGAGCAAGTGAGATGGTACTTTGCTGGAGGAGGAGGACCACCCCTGCTTCTGCACTGAAGGTGTGAGTTACCTCACACTGTTCCTCCTCCTGCTAAGCACTACTCTCTCTCTTTCCCAGGGGCGCTACGGCTGCTGCCGCTTCCTGCGGGATGGATACAGGACCCCCAAAGAGGTGAGTGTGCTCAGCCCTGCCCCCTCCCCCCCACCCCGAACAGCAGTGCCAAGCATCAGCAGTGTGTCAAGGCTATGGTGGGGAGCATGGGGAAGGTGAGAGCCCTTAGCAGCCCCAGGCAGTGTCATGGGTCTGGGCAAGGCTTCCCAAAATGCCAGAGCCCACTGCAGAGGTGGTACATCCTGTCAGTGCCCATGGCAGATGGGCAGAGGCTGGCTCTGCATCTTGGGACCTGCGGTATGTATCTCTTAGGCTTGGGGAAGGTGGGACTATGCCCCATGGGGAGCCCTGCCAAGGTGCGCTCTTTCCCCAGTTCTTTCCAGGCTGCACAAGCCCTGAGTGAGGGCTGAAGGCCTGTGGAGGTGACTGCAGTGTTCCTCCCTCAACACTGTACAGTCACTGTCACTGCACAGGCACAGTGTGCATCTTGGGACCTGGCTCTGCAGCAGCACCTGAGGTCACAACCGTGCTTCTGCCTCTCCCGGGACAGAAGGCAGCTTGTGTACTGCCACACTTGGCTCTCAGTGGAGTGAGTGGAGCCTTTCTTCTGCTGCTCTGGGGTGGGAAACCATGAAAATTTTGTAAGCACTGTCCTGATTTTATAACCACAGAACCGGGAAATGGTACTTGGAGGGTCTGAAATCATCACCCATTGGGCCCATTATGTGCTGGGGTTCCTTTGGGCATGTGTGCCTCTAAATGCTTTTCCTCTGCTGTGCCTTTTCAGACCTGACCATAATAGGCAGCATGTGTGGCGGCATCTCTCCAGAGCCAGGGAATAGCAGCACCATTTCCAGTCTGACTTTTCCACCACTCAAACTTTGCCAGAGTGCAAAGCCGTGAATTGCTTTTGGGGAGCTGTGAGGGGCAGGAAAGGCAGTGCTGCCTGCAGGGGCACTGCAGCTGCCTGGAGTCAAACTGGAGTTTGAGAGCTTGTGGCCATTGTGCAGGCGCTATAGAGTACACACACTGCCTGTGTGCTCTCTGCCCAACAGTCTGCTAAGGCCACCCATCTCCCTTCTTTGCAGAAGAGTTAAAGCAGGCATCAGGGAAGGTTGGTGGCCATAGGTCCCCTGGAACGCTACAGCACACACATCTGGGGTGGGAAGATTCGTCACAGGCAGGTCTCCATCCTGACCCCTTCCCTTGTGCCAGGCTTTCAGTCCTATCCCCTGGCAGAAGGGCCCCTGCTTGGGCCCCTGCTCTCTAGCCCACGGCCTGGTGATGCTGGAAGAGGCAGGGGCTGAGGGGCTAGGGGACAGCAGGCAAGCTGAAGGGGATGCAGGTGTCCCCAGGGCAGCAAGAGGAATGTTGTGCTGTTGTATGGGGCTCTGAGGTGCTCTCCTGGGGACAGGGTAGGTTCCTTTTGCCCAAGCAGGGTGAGTCCCTGTAGCATTAGTGCAGGGATCTGGGAGAGAATGCCTGATGGCAAGAACACAGCTTGGAGGTGAAGCTGCTTTTTGGCTCTCTCAGCCATCATCTGCAGAAGAGCACTGGGAGGGCATTTTGAGGCTGGGGCCTCAGGGGGAGTAGGAGTCCTGTTTGAAGGGATCCTGCCACCCGCCACCCTCACCGCTGTCACCCTCCCTGCAGGACCCCAACCGCGCCTACTATGAGCCTGCAGAGCTGAAGCTGTTTGAAAACATTGAGTGCGAGTGGCCTCTCTTCTGGGCGTACCTGATCATCGATGGGATTTTCAGTGGAAACATGGAGCAGGTAAAGGAGGCAGGACCTGCCATGCTGCTGGAAAGAAGTCCCTGGCAAAGGAGGCGTGCAGGGAGCCATGCCCAGGGCAGACTCCCTTTTCTCTCTCCTCAGGTGCAGGAGTATCGGGAAGCCCTCGAGGGGGTTCTCATCAAGGGGAAGAATGGGGTACGCCTGGTGCCGGAGCTGTACAGCGTTCCACCAGATAAGGTGAGTGGTCCTGAGCTACAGTGGGAGTGGAAATATCATCAGGTAATTACTATCAGGTTTTAACAGCTTAACTCACACATGGTGGCTTCATGCACATGGAAACCCCGTGAGAAAGACAGCCAACCAAACAAAAAACAACATGCTGTTCCAACTCCCCCCCCCCCCCCCCCCCCCCGAAGCATTTCTTGCCCCTGTACTGTACTCAAGTTGCTGTACTGAGAGGGTGCAACCTGGAGATCGAGTCCTCTGAGAGCTCAGGACACACAGACCTGGGCTGAGGAGGTGCTGAGGATATGTGAGCCTGGGCTGAGAGTGACGGCCTCCTGGTGCCTGGATGCTGTAGCATCCGGAGCATTGTCCCAGTGCTCCTGGGGAATGTCAGCCATTCCAGAGGGATATCTCAACATCTTGGGAACCGAAATACTGAGCAGCTGATGTGGTGTCTGGCACGGGTCCCTAGGGCAGTCACGAGAAGGTGTGAGGAGCATAGCTGGGAGGTTTTGGGCCCTCTGTGGCAAATGCTTTCACAGATTCTTATTCTAAGCCTGGAACTGCTGGACTTTGAAATGCAGTGATGATGATTCACAGCATCCTGTGTGTGTGGATCCATCCCTGACCTACTGGCTTGCCTTCCAGGTGGACGAGGAGTACAGGAACCCTCACACTGTGGACAGGATACCCATGGGCAAGCTGCCGCTCATGTGGGGGCAGTCCCTCTACATCCTGGGCTGCTTGATGGCTGAGGTATGGTCATCCCTAGTGCTAGGGGGGGCTGAGGGGCGAGGCTCTGAGCTCTGAAAGGGCAAATATTGCCATCCTGTGCCACCTACCATGGGGAACCTGTCACTTCCACCCTGCAGGACCTCTTAAAGGTGGGTTGTCTGTAGGCATCACCCGCTTTACCCTGTGCATGAAATGTTGATCTCCTCATATCTCGTCATACCTCTTTTTCCTCAGGGGTTTCTAGCTCCTGGTGAAATAGATCCCCTCAACCGCCGGTTTGCGACTGTCCCCAAGCCTGATGTGGTGGTCCAAGGTGAGAGAAAGGGCCTGGTTTCAAACTCCTGTGCCTAGCAGGCCTGGGACCTCTGCCTGCATGGAGCTCATGGGGCTGGCTCTGCTGGCTGGGTGGCTGCCAGTGCAGCAGGTCTCAGCCCTGGCAAGGTGGGTGTAAGATGGGGTGTAAGTCCTTCTGCTCCACCCTGCATTGCTCCAGGGGAGCATCACTGGCTACAGCCTCCTCTGCAGACAGGTTGAAAAGGTTGAAAAGCCACTCAGGACAGAAGGCTTGAGTGGGAAGAATGTCAGGGGAAGCAAGGCAGACCTCTGCAGTGGGAAGTGGTTCCCAAAGAGACCCCAGACAACTGCCTTTATGTGACATAGCACATGCGTGTCCCCAGAGGTGCAGAGCAGCACTCCTCACTCTGGTGCCCCTGCCACACTGAACCTGTCCTCCCTCTGCAGTGTGCATCCTGGCAGAGACAGAGGGGATCAAGGGTGCCCTGAGGAAGGAGGACATCGATGTGGAGACTGTGGCAGATGTCTACCCCATCCGAGTGCAGCCTGCTCGCATCCTTAGCCACATCTACGCCCGGCTGGGTAAGCTGGGCTCCCTGCACCTGCAGAAAAAAGGGTGCAGAAGGGTCTGTGTCATACCCTGACATTGCTGCTCATCAGTGCCTAGCTAATGGTGGCTCTGCTACCCTTTCCTTGGCCTGGTAAAGGGGAACTTGGGCCCAAGGGGCACTGGGATGGCAGACAGTGCTATGCAGAGTAATTCTAAAATGGGTAAAGCTTTGGCACTGCAGTTGCACAGTCACCCCAGGGACAGGCAGGGGTTATAGGATGGACTTGGTGTGGACAGGAGCCAGCTTTTGTTCATGTGTCCCAGATGTCAATGGGGGAAGCAAGCCAGACCCCAGAGAAGGTCCCCTGGCAGTTCCTGGCTTGCTGAGAGAGTCTGTAGCTGAGGTGAGGTGGCCGCTGTTGGAGGGTTGGCAGGGCCATTCCCTGATGCAGCGGCCCTTTGGGCACAGGGCTTGTGTGGAGCTGGAGACCTGGCCTGGGCCAGAGGAGGAACCTGACCCACCACAGGCTGCACAAGCTGGCTAATTTAAGCCACCAAAATGCCAAGTGTAACATGGGCAAAGGGAGCAGGGGAACAGCTCAGCAGCTGCCAGGGCTGACGTGAGCGAGGGGTGATGCTGCTGCTGCACCATCCTGGGCTCTGGGAGTAATTCCAGGAGCAGTGGGAATGTTTACAGAGCTCTCGGCTTTGGGGAACCAGCCCTGTGCAGGGCTGAACCCCTGGTCTTGCCCCAGCTTCCAACATACCCCAAAACCCAGAGGTGTGGCACATTGTGGAAGCCAGGACAGGCTGTTCCTGTTTCAGCAAGTGTTCCTGGGGGGGGCCTAGTGTCTCTATCCACTGGGCAGGGCTGTGGGGTAGAGCATCACTGTGCTTTTGAGCCATGCCAGCACAACACAGGGTCCTGGGGTATCCCAAGTGCAAAACAACTGTTTCCTGCTGGCTGGGAGCACAGAAGCCTGCCTCTGCTTGCTGTATCCCTTTCATGAGAAGGCTGTCACTAAAAACTCCTCCTCCTGGACTCCTAGGCCGCAACAAGAAGATGTGCCTGACAGGACGGCCCTATCGGCACATGGGAGTCCTTGGGACCTCCAAGCTCTACAACATCAGGAAGAACATCTTTACGTTCACCCCACAGGTGGGTGCCATTCCCTGCTGCCAGGAGATCTGGAACTAGGCAGGAGGGCTCCCCACTGGCTGAGTGCTCAGGGGGTGCCCAACACCCTCTGAACAGCCTGGACCAGTCCCAGCTCTGTGGCATGGAGCAGCAGTTGGTGGTCCTGGCTACGTGCATGCTGGGAGAAGATGGTTTCAGCCTTCCAGTGATGAGTGTTGAGTGGAAATCTCTGCTCACCCTGACAAGAGCACTAGGAAAAGGCTGATGGCAGGACAGGGATCCCTCTGTCCCCTGTGTCCAACATGGTGCAGGGATGAGCAGGGTTGCAAGCCTGGAACTGTGGGAGTGCATGTTTGCTTGGGATGGGCACAGCACAGACCCGTGGCTGTGTGGGGCTTGTGTGACACTGCTGCTGAGCTGTGGTGTTACCTCGCCATAGTTGTTAGGGGCCAGCAGCTGCCCTGGGGGCTGAGGGTGCCTTTCTAGGCTCTACTGATGCTTACCAAGTGAGGTGGGACACGCTGGTGGTGCCGGGGTCACTGGATGCGCTGTGTGGCTGGCCTGGCTGAGTGCCTGTGGGAAGATGTGGGTGGCGCTAAAGGTGGCTGTGGGAAGGGCTGCTCATGTCTCCTCCCATCCTCACAGTTCATAGACCAGCAGCAGTTCTACCTGGCTCTTGACAACAGGATGATTGTGGAGATGCTGAGGACAGATCTTTCGTACCTTTGTAGCCGCTGGAGGATGACCGGACGGCCGACCATCACCTTCCTCGTCTCCCACACCATGCTTGGTATAGACCCTCCAACCTCGCAAGGCGTTTGGCTAGAGCAGCTGTGGGAAGCAGCCCATGCAGGAGGAAGTGGGTGGGCAGTTGTGTCAGTAATGGTGGGGCTGGAGGAGCCAGAAGCATCCTGTAAAGAGCCAGGAGCATCCTGTGAAGAGTTTGCTGCTCAAAGGAGCTGCACTGGGTTAGCAGTGGGAGAGCCTGACTGCCTCTGTCTCTGTCCCCAACAGATGAATTCGGCAAAAGTGTGCACCCCACAGTGCTGGTGATGCTGCGGAAGCTGCAGGATGGGTATTTCGGTGGTGCAAGGTGAGTGCAGCTTCCTGGAGAGGGCTGGCGGCCCCCAGGAGCCTGTTTATGAGGGTACTTGCTGGGCCTGAGCATCAGCTGTTGGGGAACAAGCTGTGGAGAATACATTGGGGTGTGCTAGGCTGTAAGTGCATCCCTGGGGTACAGTCCCAACAGAGGAGATGTGAGAAAGTTCATAGCTCTTTATGCTTCTAAGCCCGTGGCTGCAGGATCCCTCTAATACCTTTTGGGCAGCCCTTTCATGTCTGCCTGTGGCTGGAGGAGTTGCAGGTAGCTAAAGCAGGCGTGGGGGCATAGTATGCTCCTGAGCAAGCGCATCTCTCCCTGCCAAAGGGCCTGTCCTGTATCCAGAAGGCAAAGCCAAAGGTGCTGCTCCCCCCTTCCTCTCTGTTTGACCTCCCCTCCTCTCGCCCAGGATCCAGACGGGTAAGTTGTCGGAGTTCCTGACAACGTCGTGCCGAACTCACCTCAGCTTTATGGACCCTGGGCCAGAGGGTAAGGTCTTTGCCAAAAGTTATGAGCTCAGCACTGGCAGCTCTGAGGAGCTAGATGCCGAGGAGTGGCTGCATGGCTTGCAGATAGCAGAGGATGGTCAGGGGGAACAGGCCAGTTGCTGCTGTGGCATAGCAAATGCCAAACTCACCCGTAGAGCTGTAACACCCCACCACCCCGCCAGCACCTGCCACCATGTTCTTCATACATTTGGGTATTCACCATGTTTTTGTTCTCATCTGACCCTCCATCAGTAACCTTGTCTGGGTGATGGTCAGGGTGACACCAGTGGGGTGGGACCAGGTGAATTCATGCAGCCTCACCAAGGGTTTTTCCCAGCCAGCCAGGGCTGAACCTGTTGTGCACATGGAGAGCATGGAGGATGCTCTATAATCAGTCGGTCTGGCTGTTGCTTAGGGAAGAGACACAGGTTTGGCAACCTGCCTCTGCTCGAGAGATTGGGCTGAGGATCTTTGGAACACCAGTGACAGTGCAGAAAGTGATGGGACCATGCCCAAGGTGGTGGGGAAGACTCACCATGTCTTGAGCAATCCAGGTGTTGTTTTCCCAAAGCCTTTGACCCTCTCTAGGCAGGGCTGCTCCAGTTGGTGCCAAATTGAGGTCTTGCTGCTGTGGATATGGTACCTCAGAGAGCCTTAGCCCACCACAGTGTGATGGACCCGTCTTGTCCTGAGACCATGGTGGGGTGCAAGGTTTGCAGTTTCCCTTGCAAACAGCCCTGGGTGTATCCTCCTGTGTGACCTAGAGCTCGTCATCTTCCCAGCCTTCCCATCAGTCTGCTTTGCCTCTGCTGCTTCTGTAGCCAATGTCTGCACCACTGTGACTCTGAATACTCACTTCTCTTGCCCTCCTTTTGCTTTGCCTGGAGTCTCCTTGTAGGCTGCACCTGGGCTTCTCCAAGGTGTCTGCTTCTCCGCAGCCCCAAGGGGAGATGGGGCCTGCCTAGTCTCTCTACAGCACTTACAAAATGCTTAAAGTGTTTCTTGTGGTCAGATGCTGCAGCCAGACAGGATGATGTTTTCGAGCCTGATGTCTGGAGGACTCTTCCTTCAGGCATTGTCATAAGGCAACCCTGCCAGATATGAAAAGGGAATGCTGCGATGTGGGCCTCTGATGTTGTCTGCATCTCACCTCCTAAGGAAGGACACACCACAGAGCTGATCTGCGAGCTGAAGAGCAGCATGGCTTTGCCCTGGCCCACTGTCTGGAAGCACTCAACAGCTCTTAGTTGTGTTGCATTGCTTTGGCATGGGGCATCTCCCCCTTGGGGTATGCCCATCACTGTTATTTCCTGGCTGAGGAGAGAGATGGCCTCTGAGCACCCTCATCCACGGTGCAGGAAACGAGCGGTGGGCCCTTGTGCTCCTGTTGTGGCATTGGGAGTGATGGCAGCTGCTGTAGGTTGGGCAAAGAGCAAGACAGGAGCTGTAGCTCCTTCTCTAACTCCTAACTAGAAATAACTGGTAATTTCTAATTAGAAGTAACTGTGTTGTAAAACCCACCCTGCCTTGCTCCCATGCTGGAGTCCTGCTTGGATGAGGCCCCTGCTGTGCTGGGGTGCTCACAAACATTCCACATGGACAGGCTGCTGCTGGCTGTGCCTCCCCCTATCATCCCTGGAGGAAACAAGCACGAGGGTTTCACTGTGGGGTTGGGGCAGGCTCTGGCCATCCTTGCACAGGCTCAGACCCAGCACATGCTGCATCCCCATCACCTGTTTCATTTGGGTGGGACTCCGAAGGAGCCCGGCTGGCAGCCAGTGTCCCAGGCAGCGGAGCAGACTGGGAACAGGGGTGTCATGGCTGTGGGACTTCAGGCACCAGCCCCATGTTGTCATTTTGCTCAGCCAGCAAAGCTTCACCCTTGCTGAGGTGCAGGCGGGAGCTCTCTTGGGCTTGGGGCACAAAGCAGCTGAGCCCCCTCTTGTGCCTCCCCTTCAGCAGACACGTATGACGAGGTTGCTCAGTACCTGGATCACTTGCTGCAGCACACAGCTCCGCAGGTGAACCTGCCTCCCACTGCACAGCGGGGAGGCCTGAGCCGCTTCCGCGCTGCCGTCCACACCACCCGTGACCTCATGTCCTTGGCATCCAAGGCCAAGGACCTTCACATCCAGAGTGAGTAACTCCAGCACCCTCTGCACCTTTGGTCAAGCCCAGGGGTAAGGCTGAGGTGCTCTGGGAGCTTTCCCAGCTGTGCAATGCCTGGGCCCCATAAACTGAAAAGAAGCCTGCATTATGTCCATCATGTTAGTCCTGGCCATTGGAGTATCTTGGAGTTGGTGCATGTGCATTCCTTATGGAAAATTCTGAATGATAAACAATGGCAGCTCCCTGTGGTGTTCCTTTAGCACGGCGGGATGGGGCTGCTTCTCCCACGGCCCACTTCACTGCAGGGGCTGACAGGGGAGCAGTGTGTCAGATGTGAGGTGGGTTGGGGTTGGGAAGTATCTGTACCAACCTTGGTTTTCTTTTAGATGTTGGGATGTTTGTCCCCAGCAAGATCTTCCAGGCATCCCAGCAGTCTGTCAAGCTGCTGGGTTCACCCCACCAGCATGATATGGATGGCAAGGTGAGCCATGTCCCTCTCAGGCTGGCCAAGCACTGCTATCCTTTCAGCTGGAGCCAGAAGTCCCTGTGGGGCTGCATGGGGAAGGGTTAGTGTTTAGTGAGGGGGAATGTCTATGGGTGAATGTCCTCAGCTCCACAACCAGACTGCACTTGGTGTGTGGTGCTGGTGATGCTGACCAGGAGCATGGGTCTCCCTTCCTTCAGAGCCACACACTCTATGCAGAGATGAACCTACCCCGCGATGAGCATGGCAACGTGGACTGCAAGGCACTGGTGGACCAGCTGCGTGTCTGCCCCACGCTGCAGGAGCAAGCGGACATCCTCTACATGCTCCACATCCTCAAGTATGCTGAGCTCTGAGTCCTGCAGGCTCACTGAGCAGAGCACAGCCGTGCAGTCATCCCCACCTGCAGAGCCCAGGGCTCCTTCAAGGCAAGCTGCTGGCTGTAACCCAGGATCTCCTTCAATGCAGAGGACCTGAATGGCACACGGGGCTTGACAGTGAGCCTGGCCCCACAGTGAAGGAGCTCCTCACTGAGCTGTACATGCGGGTGGGGGACACACGCCAGTGGGCCCTGATCCGCTACATCTCTGGCATCCTCAAGAAGAAGGTGGAAGCTCTGGATGAGGTAACAACCATGCATTTGGCCTCCAGCTGGCTGAGCTCTGTTGGGGAAGAGGTTGCAGAGCGGGTGGGCAAGCTGCACCTGCATCTGCTCTGTCTCACCCTGCCTTGGGCCAAGGCCCAATCCCTGAGCTGTTGGTGATGCCTGGGGTGACTCTGTCCCCAGGCCTGTACTGACCTCCTGTCTCACCAGAAGCATTTGACAGTTGGGCTGCCCCCAGAGCCGCGTGAGAAGACGATTTCCGCGTGAGTGTGGCCTGTCTCCTGGCACGTGCTGGCCTGGGGTTGGATGCGGACCTGCTGTCCTGGAAGCCTGTGGGAGGAGCGGCTCTGGGTGGCCACCCCCAGCTTGCGTCTCTCCCCTCTGGGCAGTGTGGACCACAAGGGACGCAGGGTTCACTCTACTGCCTCTCACCTTCTCTGCTCCCTCCATAGCCCGATCCCCTATGAGGAGCTTGTTCACCTTATTGATGAAGCCAGCGAGAAGAACCTCAGTGTGTCCGTCCTCACCCAGGTGAGGGGCCAGGGTGACAGAGGACCCTGGCCTAGGGTTCTCTGCCCTGGTGAACAGCAGTGGAGTGACCTACCCCTTCCCCTCTAGGAGATCATGGTCTATTTGGCCATGTACATGCGCACGCAGCCCGCGCTCTTCGCTGAGATGTTCCGCATTCGTATCGGGCTCATCATTCAGGTGATGGCAACGGAGCTGGCGCACTCTCTGCGCTGCTCAGGTACGTGCAGTGGGGACAGCACCCAGCTGGAGGGTGCTGCTGCAATGGGGACCCCATCAGCAGGGAAGAGAAGTGCTGTTAAAAATGGGCAGCTCAGCTCCAGGGCAAGACCCTGCACTGAAAGTGCCAGGGACTGTTCTCAGGCACAGCTGGGTGATTTCACTTCAGTCTGTATTCAATTGTGTGTTGGGCTGGCATGGGGAAGAGTTCCTGTTGTAGGCAAAACCCAGAGTTAGTGTACGTCCCTGGAGGATGAGCTCCTGTACCAGTGCTTCCCCTGCTGACGGAATGGTGTGCAGGGTAAAAATGTCCTAGGAGGGCTGTGAAGTGGGGTACGACATCCCAGCTCTGTTCTCTCCAGCTGGAGAAGCCACTGAGAATCTGATGAATCTCAGCCCATCAGACATGAAGAGCCTCCTCTACCACATCCTCTCTGGCAAGGAGTTTGGAGTGGAAAGGAGTGGTGAGTCTCTCAGCAGGGTTGAGAGAGCATCTCTGGGCAAAGCTGGGTGCTGGTGCAGAGCGTGGCCTGAATTGAAGCAGTTGTATGCTGTGCTCAGGGATCTCTGGTGCTGGCTGGGGTAGAGGGCAAGGGTGTGCAGAGGTAGGTACCAGTGCCCAAGCAGAGGCAAGAAGTGTGTGTGCCCTGAGCCACGGTACCCACTCCAGGCCTCTCTTCTCCAGTGCGATCAGTTGACTCGTCGCTCACCACTATCTCCATCTGTGAGGTGGGGGCCATTGGGGCCACCAAACACGAGCGTTCCGGCATCATCAGGCTGAAAAGTGAGATCAAGCAGGTGAGGGCAGGTGGTGCAGGCTGCTCCTGCCAGGGACAGCTACAGGACAAGCAGGATCGGTGGGGAAGCAGGAGGGAACTTGCTCCTGGGCTTCAGAGAGCTTACAGCTGCTTCCAGGATCTGCTTTTAGCTCCAGTCCTGCCCTGTGGGGAGAACTGGAGCAAACCTGTTAATGGGACTTGGGATTTCTTTGGCAGAGCAAGCAGTACAGGGGGAACACAGGAGTGCTTGGGAAGTGCAGGGGTGGGAAGGACCACGCAGAGTCCCAGGCGTTGCTAGTGTCCTGGTGGGCCTCTTTCAGCAGCAGAAACGTCATTTCCTTCTTCTCTTGCAGCAGCTGGATAAGCATAGGCAGTCTCTGCCTGGAAGTAAGGTGATGCCCCCTGGTCCTCCTGCACCCTCAGCTTTTGTCCCTTATGCCACACACCCGGGCAGCTTTCGAGCATGCATGAATTAGCAAGCTTTACTAAGTAAACCTGAGCGAGCTGCTGCAGCAGTGAGCTGGCTGCCCCTCTGAAGGTGCAGGGTTGCTGTGTTCAGGACTGGAAGGGAGGCTGGCTCCCTGGGAAAAGGTTGGCATTGCTCACCATGCTGTGGGGCCCAGGGCTGGCACTGTCCCACAGCCTTTGGGGAGCTCCCCCTTTGTGTGAGACCTGCCATATTTGGGCTGGCAGGGAGGAAGGCTTCTTTAGATTGTGTGTTGTCATTAGAACCAGCTGGGATCTGTGCTCCATAGCTGCTGTGGCCTAATAGACTCCATTATACCCGTGAAAACTTGCTGAGCATGATGGGGTGATATTACTGTAGTGCAATGACCAGCAGTGGCCCTGTCTAGTAGCTTACTGGTGGTTGCTGCATCCTGCCTGTAATCTCCTCAGCTATTTCTTCTCTGGAGGAAGAAGCTCCTGCCCAGCTACAAGGACTTCCTCTGTAGCCTAGCATGTGTCCAGGACAAGTCCTGACTTCTCGTCCCAAAATGACAGGGCCTGCAGGGACCAGACTGTTGCAGCAGTTTTATGTCCAGTCTGCAGCAACGGGAAACCTGGCATTACAAGGGGGACCATGTATGTGATGAGGAGGGTTGTCCACAGGCAGTAGCAACCTTGCTACTGCCTGGTCTTGCTACTGGCCCCCTGGTCTGCCTGAGACCAAACCCCACCTATGCCAGCAGCCAGCAGAGCAGTAGCAGCCCTGCTCCCATGTGCTCACCAGCACGAGCTCGCTGCCACTGCAGCACCAGTGTGCAGAGGCCTTGCAGCCACCCTGTGAGGTGCAGCCCTTCCCCTGTGGTGCTAACATGCAACTTCCCGCAGGTTTGCCCTTTGAAACTGCCTCTCCAGCTAAGCATAGCCCCTGGGATAACTGCCCTGTGACCTGAGCTTGGTCCATGCTGCTGCTGCTCTGCTTGCTGTCATGGCTTGCTTGCTCCAGTACGGTCTGATTTTGGTCTCTCCCTTTCTCCTCCAGCCCCTCGGTTTGCAGTCCGGGGACGCTGACCTCAAGTCGTCTCTGGTAACTGGTGTTTGTTGGCAGCACATGTGGGTCTGACCTGCTTGTGGCTGCACAAAGGTGCTGCAGGGTGGCTTTGCTGTGGTGGGGGGTGGAGGCCAGGCTGGGGGAGCACAAGCTCTTGGGCAGCAGGGTGTGTTCTTGTGGGTATTTACTCTACAGCAGTCTCTGTGGTCCTTGTCTTGTGTCGGCTCAGTCTCCTGGGCACACAGAGCTGCTGGGCCAGGGCTCCTTTTCAAGCATGCTGGAAGACCAGGGCAGCAAGGACAGCCGCCAGGGCCAGTGGCAGCGGAGACGACGGCTGGATGGGGCCCTCAACCGTGTCCCTGTGGGCTTCTACCAGAAGGTCTGGAAGGTCCTGCAGAAGGTGAGCTGGGTGCCTGGCTGGCTCCTCCATGCACGTGAGCCTGTGGGTCCCATGCACCAGCCTTGCTAGGCCAGCTTGTGAGGTACACGAGGATGGTTCCTGATGTCGTGTTGGTATATGCTTCCTGGACAGCCTGGCCCTGGAAAGCTGCCTTATAGGCACACAGGACCTACCTCATACTGTGCTGAGCCTTGCACAGTAACGGGTAATGGCTTTACCCATTAGCCAGGCAGGGGCAGGCTGGAGCCGCAGCTGAAGCAGCTCTGGGCACAGCTTGTCCTTGGCATGGTGAGCCAGGGAGCAGAGCCCCATGCTAAGCGCAGGGCTGAACCGGTGGGGAAGGAGCAATGCTGTGCAAGGAGTTAGGAGGTGGAGCTAGCGTGTGTGGGCAGCGTGCACCAGTGCACAAGGGAGAGTGAGCTGGTGGACCGGCCCTATGTGTTCTAGCGTAGATGCTTCTCAATGCCATAACTGTGGTCTCTCCTTGTCCTGCAGTGCCATGGCCTTTCTGTGGAGGGCTTTGTTCTTCCGTCTTCAACAACCAGAGAGGTAGGAGGTTTATGTGAGGTGTAAGCAGGGTAGGTGGGTTGGTGCTGGGTTGCCCTGTGCAAGCACCCAACATTGCTCAGGACTTCTGCTGGTGATAAGAGTGCTGCAGGTGCCTTTCTTTCTCCCTCCTCACAGATGACCCCTGGGGAAATAAAGTTTGCTGTGCATGTGGAGTCGGTCCTCAACCGTGTGCCCCAGCCAGAGTACAGGCAGCTGCTGGTGGAGGCTATCTTAGTGCTCACTATGCTGGTGGACATGGAAGTGCACACCATTGGTGGCATCATAGCTGTGGAAAGGATCTTGCATATGGCCAACGACCTCTTCTATGAGGAGCAGGTAAGGGCCAGGCCTCATACAGGAGCCACAGGTTGCACCCAGGGCCGCTGGCTGCGTTCCCTACAGCCAAGCAGCAGTCACCCATGCAGACAGTCCTGCCTGTTGCCCTCATTATGTTCATGGGGCACAGCAAATACATAGTGTACTCCTCCCGTTGTTCACCATCAGTGTGTCACACTGCCTTATTCCTGATGCTTCCTTTCTCCTTCCCTGCCCAACATCCAGAAAGCCCTGGGCGCTGACGAGCACATGCTGGAGAGGGATCCTGCGACAGGCATCTGCAGCCTGCTGTACGATAGTGCGCCAAGTGGGAGGTTCGGCACCATGACCTACCTGTCCAAGTCGGTGGCCATGTACGTGTATGACTTCCTGCCCGCTGATGGCTGCTCCATGCAGTAGCTCTCACAACTCCTCACTCTGGGTTGCAGATGCTGCAGAAAGGTTGTTTCATATAGCTTATAAAAACGGGCATTAGGTAGCTTGCAGGCAGCCTGCGTGGCCATCTCTCCTAGTCCTGCCCTCTTGGTGTCTGAGCAGCTCTCCTGAAGAGCTCTGTGGGAAGCTTGCGTGGTCCTAAGCTGTGTGCAGCCTGGGCTGGCAGGGAAAGGCTGAGCTTCGAAGCCTGCTTGTATTAGAAGTGTCTGCCTACACAGCTCCTTCGGGGCCATCACCCCCAAAGGTATGTGTGTTTGAGGGAGGTGGAAAGGGCCCCCTTCACCAGGCGTGTGTGCAGTGCTGCAGCGTGCTCTGCAGATGCCTCCAGCAGATTCTATGTTTTTAATCTGTTCTGTGCCGCTTTTTATTCCAAATCTGCAGGGTTTACACTAGTGTAAGCTGGAACTCTTGCTCTTCCTGCTGCTGGTGGAAAAGCTTAGAGGAGTACAGGGTGCCACCTGAGCCTCTCCCCCAGCACACCCAAAAGCAAAATGATCCAACCCAGCCACAGCTCTGCTGCTTGGAAGTAGGCAGCCCATCTCACTGAAGATGGGGTCAGGGGTCCTGTATACAGAGCTGGGGAGGCTGTGGGAGCCAGGAGCATCCCAAGATGGTAACAGATCCCAGTTACCACCGAGCTGCGAGGACAGAGCTTCTGGCTGGGGATTGTCGGTGGCAGCCCTGCCATGCCCTCTCTGCTTCTGGCAGTGTCACTCATGGCCAAGTCACAGGCTCCCGAGCTCATACACGTCCTGTAAAGAAGCTTTGAGCTGGCTGCTCAGTTTGGTGTTAGCTGTGCCATCACAAATGTGCTGTGAATGCTCAGCTCTGCCCTCTGTCCCCATCTCCTGCAGCCTTGCACTGGAGAGGGGAGTGTTTCCCAGTTCTGCTCTATCCTGCAGGTCAAACCCCGCACAGGATAGTGTGGTCAGACTAATGGGGAACGGGCACACACACCGCAGAGTGGCAGGGTGAGTGAGGTTATAAAATCATAAATAGTTTGGGTTGGAAAGAACCTTTCCAGGTCATCTAGTCCAAACCCCCTGCAATGAGCAGGGGCATCTTCAACTATATCGGGTTGCTCAGAACCACAATCAGCCCAGCCTTGAATGTTTCCAGGGACAGGGCATCTACCACATCTCTGGGCAACTTGTGCTAGTGTTCTTCACCACCATCATCTTAAAACCTTTTTTCCTTAAACCACACATAAACCCTCTTTTAATTTAAAGAAGAGAGGTTGCCAGTGAAGACTGAGGCAAAAACATTGTTGAGTACCTCAGCATTCTCCTCACCCTCTGTTACTGGTTTACCAGTCCTACTCATCAAGAGGGTTTCGCTTTCTGTGACCCTGCTTTTCTGGCTGACATACCTGTAGAAGACCTTTTATTATTCTTTTTGTCCCTTGCGAAGTTCATCTCCAGCTGTACCATGGCCTTCCTGACCCCTTTCCTACACGGCCAGGCAGTGTCCCTGTACCCTTCCCAGGATACCTGTCTCTGCTTCCACTGCCTGTGTGTTTTCTTTTTGCATTTTAGTTTGACCAGGTCTCAACTCTTGCCTGCCTTTCCTGATTCCTTGCACATGGGGATTGAGAGCTCCTGTGCTCTATGGAAAGCATCCTTAAAGACCTGCCAGCTCTGTCTGTTTCCTTATCCTTGAGGACAGTGTCTCAGGGGGTCACACAGCTCAATCCCTTGAGCAGCTGGCAGTTGCTTTCCTAAAATTCAGGGTCCTGGCTTTTACTCTTTGCCTGACCTGTATCCCTCAGGACTGCAAACTGCCGGTGCATGAGCATTGCAAGCCCAGGCTGCTCCAATCTCAGTGTCACCAACTGACTCACTTGGGTGGGTGACCATCAGATCCAGTATTGCTTCCCCTCAGGTATAGGGCTGCCTATTCTGTGGTTTAAGAAGGTACCCTGCATGCACGTCAGGAGTCTCCTGGATTGCTGTGCTGGGTTGATCCTGGCTGGGTGCCCACTGCCAACCAGAGCCGTTCTGTCCCTCCCCTCCTCAGCTGGACAGGGGAGAGAAAACACAATGAGAGGCTCCTGAGTTAGGATAAGGACAGGGAGATCATTCACCGGTTGTCATGGGCAATGCAGACTGACTTGGGGAAATGAGTTTAGGATAAGGACAGGGAGATCATTCACCAGTTGTCATGGGCAATGCAGACTGACTTGGGGAAATGAGTTTCATTTATTACCAATCAAATCACAGTAGGATAATGAGAAATAAAGCCTAAATCTCAAAGCACGTCCCTCCTCCCATCTTCTGGGCTCAGCTTTACTCCTGTTTTCTCTATGTCGTCCCCTGCATCGCCACAGGGGAATGGGGGTTGTGGCCAGTTCATCAGACATCTGGCATCCCTCCCGCTGCAGGAGGAGGACTCCTCACGCTCTTCCCCTGCTCTGATGTGGGCTCCATCCCATAGGGAACAGTCCTCCACAAACTCTTCCAACATGAGGAGCTGGCATTGGCTCTCCCAGACATGGGGGAGGCTTCTGGCAGCTTCTTACAGAATCCACCCTGTAACCCTCATCCCCACTACCAGGCCCTTGCCACATAGACCCCATACAGTTGCCTGCAGCTTCTTCAGCAGCTCTTGGGGTGGTTGAGGTCCCCTGAGAGGATGAAAGGCTGTGAGTGCAGTGCTTCCTGTAGCTGGAGTCAGAAGGCTTCATCCACAGGCTCCCCTTGACAGCATGGCCTGCAGAACCACAAGGTTCCCTTTGTTGACTGGTCTCCAGTTCTTACCAATAAGCTTTCAACCTGCTCATGGCTATTTTTCAGAGACAGCTTTTCACAATTTATCCATTTTTAGATGCAGAGGGCAACACTGTTCCCCCTCCTTCCTGGCCTGTCCCTTTTGACCAGCTTGTAGCCATTGACAGCCATTGCACTTCGCTGGTGGGGTTCATCCCACCAAGTTTCAATAAAGGCAGCCAGGTTGTAGCTTTCTCGCAGCACAAGTCACTTCCAGCTCCTCCTGCTTGCTGCCCATGACGCATGTTTTGGTGTAGAGGCACTTCAGCTGGGCTGTTGGTCACGTCACCTTCCTTTGCCTGGTATTTCCCTCTTGGCTCCTGTTACGCATGTGCGTAAGACTTAAAAGTGTGCTGCAGTGTACCTAGCATGTCTGAGAGCAACAGGCTGAGGGTCCTTGCCAGGCCCCTAGCTTTGGCATGTCATCAGACAGCTTGTCTGGTATTATCCCACTCTGCCTTTAAGTCTAGTTTAAAGCTCTGTCAGTCAGCCCTACTAGCCTGTAAACAAAGACCCCTTCCGCCTCTGAGAAAGGTGAATCCCATGTTATGCCAGCAGGCCTGGTGCTGTGTAGGCCATCCCATTATTGAATACCCCAAAACTGTGGCAGTGACACTAGCCACAGACCTAGGTATTAATAGACTTCTGGACACGCTGCCTACAACTAGAATGATGGAGTTACAAATAACCTGTGTTCCAGATTACCAACAGTGCCAAGGTCCTGAAGTCTCTTGATTGCCCTTGGATTATGAGTTGTGGCTTCATCACCACTCACTTGGAAGAGCAGTAATAGGGTAATAGCCTGAGGGCCATACCCGGCTAGGAAGTTTCCTAGTGATGTCCTGAACACAGGCCCCAGGGAGGCAGCAAGCTTCTCTAAGAGGAGGGTCTATCCAGCATACTGGACCCTCTGTTGCCCTCAGAAGAGAATCACCTGACCCTGTAACACATAATTTCTTCCTCATGGAGGTGGTCCTGACTCAGGGGTTAGACCTTTCTGACCTTGGCAATGCCTCTGGGGTAGGGGGAACGTTATCTGTACCATGCACCGACTTGCCTTCCACCATCCAGAACATCGTACCTGTCATACAGAGGCACTTGGGAAGGTGGGGTGGGAAAGCAGGGGTTTCGCCTGCTGTACCCAGCGTCGACTTGCTCCCATTCACTCCTTTCCTTTAAGCTGCCACCTTTAGCCTGGTGGGGAAGAGAGTGGGGGACGGACAACCGCCAGCCCGGCTTCTCTCCCTGTCCTAGTAAAACCAGGAGGATGCGTTGGGAGCCGGCGGGGTGTGGACAGCGCCAGTAGGGAACGGCAGGCGTCCCCCGGCCGTATTCCGGGAGCGGGGCTGCGTCCTCAGGCGAGGGCCTCTTGTAATGGCGGCGCTGCTTTTGTAAAGAACGGCCACCGCGAGCCGAGGACACCCCGGTAAAACGCCTCCGACACGAGCGTGCAGCTGCTCCCCGCGCCCTGCCGTGCTGGGCGCCGCTGGGGCCGGGCCCGCGCAGGGACTGCAGCTCCCGGCGTGCTCCGGGGCCGGAAGTGCCGGTCTCGGCGTGCTCCGGCGTGGCGCAGCGCGGTAGCTCGGATGGCGGCGGCGCCGGTGTACGTGTACAGCCCGGAGTACGTGGCCCTCTGCGACTCCCTCTGCAAAGTGCCCAAGCGGGTCAGCGCCGCGCCGGGGGTGGCGGTAACGCGGCCCTGGGGGACTCCGGCGGGGGGGGTGTTGGGACTGCAGGGGTGAGGCCTGGGGTCGGAGGGCACCCGTGGAGTCCCGCCGGGAGGCCGGGGGGTGTTGGGGAGGTTGCCGGCGACAGCGGGAGCGTACGGAGAGGGCGCAGCGCCGCCCCCGGGCAGCGGCGATGTGGGGCCGGGCTCAACCCGCGCACCGCCTGTGGCCGGGACGCAGAGGAGGCACTTCCGAGGTGCTCCCCCCGCCCCACGCCGAAGAGCTACAGAGCCCGCCTCAGGCTGGCGCCATCTGAGCCGTGCTGCTCCTGGGAGAAGTTCCGGTTACGCCTTCGCTGCAGGTGGCTCTGCTGCCGTCTCGTACGCGGGGCTGCTCACGGGCTTACTCTTTCTTTTCTTTAGGCCAGTATGGTGCATTCGTTGATTGAAGCGTATGCCTTACTTGACCAGATGAAGTAAGTACTCTCCTTTTCTGTTAAGAGAATGTTTTCTTCTCTGCTAAGGTGTGGAAGGTACTGGGTAGCTCGAGGGCTGCCCCTGCTTGCAGAATGATTCTAGGAGCCTGGCAGTGTGTATTTCTAGGATATAAAGGAAGTCTGAGTTTTGTTAAAGGGACAAGATTGTGGTAATTATGGAAAATTGGACAAAAAAAATGGAGAAAGGCCCACACGCCAGTTCAGCAGGGCCAGAGGTGCCTGTTGAAACCTTTTAAGGAATTTTTTTCTTTCTGGTCACTTTGCAAAATACGCTTTGGAAATATCTGTAGGTACCATTGCAGAGGTGAACCCAAAGGGCTGTTTGCCCTGGCATAGGGTTAGAAGTGCTCACCACTGGGCTAGCCTAAGGCTGGGAGCTTCTTGTGTTCTTCCCATAGCAACTGTGTTGCCTGCAGCTGCCCCCAGGGCTGAGGCTTGGAGGGAGCTTCTACATGTCACAAGATTTATTTAAACAGATTGCAAAGCACCACAACTTGGGAAAGGTGATGTGTGAATTGCTGAGGACAGAGGCGGCCTCTGCTTTGAATGCAGGTGGAGTTAAGAGCGTGTGAGAGGTGCTGCTCAGCCTCCTGACCCATCAGGCTGGTGTCTTACTGCAGCACTGGGCTGGGCCTGGCCGTTGTCAACTCTGTTCTTTCCTCTGTTGTGTTGGATGTGCTGGGCACTGCTTAAACTGGGAGAATATGCAGAAAAGGAAGAAAAACTTCAAGCAAAGTGGCAAGGTTAATGCAGGCAGCACCTGCAGGTGTTCCTCACTGGGGCAGGCACAGCAGATAGTGCCATGCTGGGGGAAAGGCCCACTCAGCTGATCAGCTTTTTCACTCCAAATGATAGTCTGGTGTGAGAGGAGGTGGGAGTTTTGTTTGCTTTGTCAACAGCAGCTGGCAAAAGGCTTCTTGTTTGAGGAGGTTAAAGCTAGGTTTTCCTGACAAACCTCGGAGCTTCTTGTCCTGGATGTGCTCCCTTCCTCCTCTCTGCCTAGGATAGTCAAGCCTAAAGTGGCCTCCATGGAGGAGATGGCCAGCTTCCACACAGACGCCTACTTGCAGCACCTGCAGAAGGTCAGCGAGGAGGGAGACGATGACCATCCGGAGTCCGTGGAATATGGACTGGGTAAGGATATGTATCTTCAGTGAGAGATTAACTGAGTATTAGGACCAGGATGCTTTCTGCTGACGCTGAGGTTAGACAGAGGGATGAGCTCAGGTGGGCTGTTTATGGGGGGAAACGCTGATAGGGTGCTGCTGAGCCCTGTCAGACTGGCGTTTTCAACTGTTGCCAGCAGAGGGTGCTGTCAGCCTCACACTGTCCCTTGCGTACCGGGAGCCAGTCCGTTTTGCTGCTGCTTTTAGGATCTCGGGCAGAACAGAAGGCCCTGACTTGCTGACTTTGGCTTCCACAGGTCTGCTGTGGTGAAGGACACATGCCTGAAGCTGCAGCCAGGCACCAGAGTCGTCCGGGTGTTTTCTGGGTGACTTTGCTTACCTCCTGAACAAAGGCTGCCACCTGCCTGCACTTAAGACAGCCTGAGCAATGCAGTAGTTAGCGCAGGCAAGATGGCTCTGCGTACGCTTAGCATCAGGAGCAGGAAGAGTGACCCAGCACTGAGGCAGTGGTACACATTCTGCGCTGATCTCATGGGTTTCCCCTGGGTCTGCCCTTTGTGTCTCTGAAGTTTGTCTGTCTGGAGGCAGAGGAGCAGCCCTGGAGTTTTGCCTTGCTGAGGAGCAGCTTCAGGGAGGCTGCTGTCGGAATAGGTGAAGATCATAATCTAGCTATAGACCTGAGGTCTACCTAGGCATGTCTCCTTTGTGGAGTTCTTGTTTTTATGGGGACGTACACCAGTGACTGTGCCATGGCTTTTCTCATAGGGTAGCCAGAGAACTGAGAGTGTTGTTGCAAGATGGATGTGAGGGGCCAGTAGGTTGGGCTAACCAGGCACACACATCATAAGTCGGATCAAGACCCACCTCTGAATGATCTGACTGCAAGGAAATGTTTTGATTGTTGATATTTGTGGTGAGTTAACCTTGGCTGGCTGCCAGGTGCCCACCAAGGTACTTCGCTCCCCCTCCTCAATAGGGTATGGGAGAAAATACGATGCAATAGAACATGGGTCAAGATAGGCAAGATGGTTCGCTAGTTACCATCATGGGCAGAACAGACTTAGCTTAGGGAAATCAGTTCAGTTTGTTGCCAATTAAAAACAGAGTAAGACAGTGAGAATTGAAAACAAAACTGAAATTACAGTCCCCCTCATCCACCCTTCTTCCTAGGCTCAACTTCACTCAGAGCTTTTTTGCCAC